AAAACTTTAACATTTTTTATTTGTATAATTAACGAAAGTTTATGATAAGTAGTATATATTATTACGTTTTTGTATTCAATTTTCTGTTTGAAATAGTTTAAACAAAACATTTTCAATAGTCAAGTTTTTATGATGGTGATGATGATGGTGGTAGTGGTGGTGGTGATGATGATGATGGTCATGATAATAACGATCAGAAAAAACACCTACACATAACTAGATCTTTAGATATCAAATTAATTAAGTTCAAGATATATCCCCAATTGTTTTTCGATTAGCACCAACTAAAAGTCATATCATCGTCGGTTGCGTGAGCTGTGCTGTATTCCAAAGGCTATCACCATGGATTGTATTGCGACAATGACACCCTAGAAGGCATATTACCGTAGGTTCTGTGAGCTTAATTGTATTCCCGGAGGCAATGGCCTTGGTTTTTATTCCGATAAGAACACTCCAAACCGCCAATCACTGTGGACTATGTGAGCTTTACTGTATTTCAAAAAGTCATCTTTATTGGTTGTTTTGCGGTAAGAACCCACAAAAGGCCAACCACCATGGGTTGTTTGAGCTTTACTGTAATACCCGAGGTTATCATCTCCCCGTGGAGTGTATTTCGATAAGGACCTCCTAAAGAGCCTATCAACTTGAGTTATGTGAGCTTAACTGTGTTTCGTTTCTTGAGGCTATCACCGTTGGTTGTTTTGTGACAAAAAGTCCCTAAAAAGCCTATCACCATTGGTTGTGTGAGCTTGACCTAACACCGTGGGTAAAATTGCGATATGAAACCACTAAACGGCGTATCACCTTGGGTTGTGTAAACTATACTGTAGTCCCTGCGGCTATTATCATGGGTTGTATTGCTATAAGGACCCCCTAAAAAGCCTATCACCATGGAGTGTAAAAGTTTGACTGTACTGCCTAAGAATATCACCATGGGTGCTTTTGTCATTCGCAACATCTATCTTTATATGTAGATTTTAACTAAATTCAAGGTAAGATACAGATAACTAATCGTTGTTTCGTAAATCTTAAATATTTAGCTTCAATATTATTGATGTTATTTTTTGCACCATGTTTACAATTAACATTTTGTTATATATATATAACCTTAATTTCTTTCACATCCAAATTTATTTCATTGTTCGAAACCAAATTATAAACAGCAAGAAAAAATGATGATAAGCAGTGGTTGTATTGGATGATGATAAGCAGTGGTTGGATTGGATGATGATAAGCAGTGGTTGTATTGGATGATGATAAGCAGTGGTTGGATTGGATGATGATAAGCAGTGGTTGTATTGGATGATGATAAGCAGTGGTTGTATTGGATGATGATAAGCAGTGGTTGGATTGGATGATGATAAGCAGTGGTTGTATTGGATGATGATAAGCAGTGGTTGGATTGGATGATGATAAGCAGTGGTTGTATTGGATGATGATAAGCAGTGGTTGGATTGGATGATGATAAGCAGTGGTTGGATTGGATGATGATAAGCAGTGGTTGTATTGGATGATGATAAGCAGTGGTTGTATTGGATGATGATAAGCAGTGGTTTGATTGTTCATATGATCTTACATATTACAAATTCAAGCACAGGCGAGCAATAGATAGTTTAACAGATACAGTGTATAAACAGTATGAATCCCAACCGGATCTGGGGAGCATATGTCAAAATTTGGTCAGAGGAGACAGGTAGAGTATTCAAGAAAAATATAAACAACAAATTTCATTGAGCCATTTAAGTTATGTTAAAAAAATGATTGAATCATTATTAAACAATTCTTTATCTTTCTGGATAATGCAACCATTATCAGCTTGTGTTCAATAACTGCGTAAAACACTGCACTAGTCACCGTTTGTTTCGTTCATGCCAACACAGGCCGAATACACATATTAATTTATGTATAAAATAGAGAGAAACTCCCTAAAGACAGACAAAACGACAATATTAAAAATGTTGCAGGCTCGGTTAGATTTAGCCTGTAATGGAAGGTAATGAAATGTACATATCACTGTCCACGCCCCCTAGCACCGGCGTATGCAGAATTCATAATTTTATCATCATGGTAATGGTGACATTTTGAATTTCCAAACGTCCACTGATGTTACGGTGGTTATGAAACCTTCAATGTGACACTTTCGTGTTATTCCATAAAAAGTGGCGTATGTAAAAATATGCATGTGCCCTAAATGAGAAAACAATCGGCGGAACTAAATCAAATGGCATTTTGAAAGGGAATCAGAGGTTATGAAGCCTGCGTATCACAGATAAGCTGTAAAAAGACAAATTTATAGAGTAGGCCACATATCCTTAGGGTGAGTTTTTAAGTCAGGGACTGGAATCACTCAATTAGAAAATAACAAAATAGAAAGAACTAAAATAAAAAAACACAAGCACGCAACAACAATGTCTTGTCGAACGATCTCTAAAGATCCTGTATGTTTTGTGATTGATATTGTTACTGTTTGTGTACCACACTTACATAAAATTACATATGTAAATAATTATGCAAATAAAACAATTTTCAAACATCGAAGAATATAAAATATGTACTGCAAATATGTGTTTAAATTATATGGTATCAATAAATTATATGCATTCATTTCTTATCGGAAAATTGGACTTAGAATTTATAGAATATAAGTTTCTAATAACCTCTCTTTACTTACGTGAAATGTTAAATTCGGTAATATATCATGTTTATCAAATAAAACCATAAACTTTAAACATATGTTACAGGATCGTTAAGGATCGGAAATATAACACCTCTGATTGAATGAAATCGTTAATAATTTACATAACTTCTATATGAGCTGATTTTCAATTGTATGACATATCGGTAAATAAACAAAATAAATTAAAGGTTAACTGTGTAGTTACTGAACCTGTCTGACAAAAATCATTATTCATATCTGTTCCTCATTTATGAGTCCACTGAACCATATCTTGCGAATTATTGACCAGCTTTATCATAATTATCTGCTATATCATTTTTAGTTTTCTTTGATAATTGATATTCAATTAAGCAATTTAACGTTTGTGCAGAAAAATAACTTAATCTTCCTGTTTGATATCTCCCTTCAATATCTTATAGATACCTTAGAACTTCCATGTATACAACTTCAGATTACATTGCAAGAATTCTTTGACTCCTTCTGAGTGTTTGCTGTTTAAAACCATTCTTCTTCGTAAGCAAATAGCAAAGTGCATATTCTGTTTTGCGAGTAATGTTGTGAATATATGTCATATATATTCTACTTTCTGATTTCTGATTTGGAATTTGTCAAAAAGTATTCTCTGCTATATCATGTTTGCATAAAATTGCACTTTTATTAGGATTTGTTTTGCATTACTCAAGCTCAAACAGATATCATTGAAACCTCATCCTTTATTGTAACATTATCTTACGCCGACATATTTGTGTTTCAATAACAGCTTTTTTTCATAAGATTTTGGAATAATTTTAACGACCATGAATTAATAAAGATAAGTAATATCAAAGGCAACGCATCCTAATATATGTTGTTTATGAAAAGAAACGGAAAGAAGCAACAAAAAGACAAGACAACAATACTAACTAAGTTAAAGGTTTTATTCATTCATAATCGTGACATCACTTCTTAATTTTAATTATTCCGATAACAGTAATAAGGTATTCTGTTTCAAGCTACATTGGACATTTAGAAAATGTTATACAACAGTGTTCACAACTTTAACAAGTCAAAGACAGTTATTTAAATTGTCAATTTGTGATAAAATGAGATTTAGTAATAAAACGTTAAGTATTAGTAATTTAATGTAAAATATAATATGAAAACATTAAGAATAATTCATTTTTTGCAGGTTACAGTTTCTAAAAAAATACACAAGCGTATGAGAACTACGTGTATGGCTGAATACTTGTCGACTTTGCATTGTGTGAATACGAGCACACAGCACAGGTCAGCTCCCATCCGTTCTTATATGGATTACAAGGTAGAGAGCCACACGTACCTTCAACGAAATAAAATAATTTGCCATTCAGATTCTGATGTGTCCCCTTAATTGTTTCGGGATTGCCATCGACACATACAAATTCAGATGAAGCATGTTTAAAATAATCAGCCATTAGATAGCCTTTATATTCTAACATGTAGTTGTCATGACAACGATTCTTCCCTGGCACCATAAGAACGTTATTACGTGGTATTCGGCAAACTGCACACGGAATCTCATGGTTATGGAGATATGTCCATTTCGGATACGTGTTTGTTTCATATTCCGCCCCAAATATCCTACCTGAATCTTGAAAACCGTCGAGATGATTATCGTAGTCTGGATCTTTTGGTAAACATAATGGGTTTGCGGCAGTTCCGCTATGCAAATGGCTTGATCCGGCAACGTAGCCATCGTAAACTAGAACGGCTTTTCCGGGACAAGATGTACGACCCCAGCGAATGTATGTTGTGCCATCAGCTGATTGTTTATTTGTTGCAAGCGTGTCGCTCAGGTTTGCTACTGTTTTTTCAGCATCTGAAATTGAGGGATTTCCAATTGCAAAATGTTAAAAATCCAAAATAGCTGAATCAGACCTGTTTAATAAAAAATGATGAAAATACAATACATTGTTATCTATTATGTTGTAAAACTATAGTATATTCATTATGATTTAGATTTCATACAGTTATCACTTTATCAAATTTTCAAATGTTGAAAAAAAATTCATGATCCTTTATTAAAACTTACAACAACATGAAAGGCAACACATTCAATTCGTATTTCTATATTTGAAATAAGTTATATTGTGGAATTTTTTTCTATATAGTTCTGATACATAAATGTTATTGTTAGCTATGATAATTTCAATCTTAAATATTAAAACCAGATTAAAATGAACATACTAAAAACAGTACTTTTAAGTTTGCTTACATTTAACTTCTCGTACGAATGTATAAATCCAGTATAATATTAAGTCAAAGTTTATTTACCATTAATTAGTTGATGAAGAATACAATTTACCTTCAAGTTTTGCAGTTAAAAGAGATATCTTGCTATCCTGTTGAGCTGTCTTTTCTTCAAGCTGTATTAATTTTGATAACAGTTTGTATTCACAATCAAAGTTTCTACAACTCGGTGCATATTCCGAAGACGTGATGTAAATTGAAGACAATATCAAAATAACAAACATAAACATGTTTTCGTTTACGATCATGTCCAGATCAAATGAGTTTGATACAGTGAATGTACTGTTTCTACAAAGTCATCTATTTTAAGGACAAACCTTTAAAGGTAGTATGACGACTAATGTAAATTTTGACATTTTCGCCATTTTCCAAATCTAGACATCTTAAGGTATTAGTCATGATATGATAAAACACATCCAGACTTTTCATTTATGTGGCATGGTCTATAGTCCAAAACTGACCAATGTACCTGTAATTAATCATATATACATTATTTTCAGGACAAAGACGAATTTCCAGTCAAGTTGAGCACAGAATTAAAAGAATATAAAAAAATGAGCATGGATGATCCATCGATAACAGTCAAAATAATAATTATAACGTGATTCTTTAAATGTAATGTGATTACCTATTTTCATGGCGGAAAATGAAATGTACATCATATATAGCAAGATCGCATACTTGCTTAAGTTGTACGTATTTTATCTTCATCACTGAGTTTTAGTTAAATGCATGGATTGCACAAAGACTAGAGATAGAATATAATACTTTGACAAATACAACTGCAATCATGTTTTAATGGTTACGACATAATGTTTGACATATTGCTTTTTGTAACAAACGATCTTAAACAATAATATATTCAGAAAAACACAAACTCGTTATTTGTTACAGTACATATGCCAGTTATATATGTAAGTGTTTATGTTGCTAATTGGTCTTTTAATTCAAAGAACGTTTGACGCAATTTTGTAAAATGTCTGTTATTTTGAAACATTTTTTATGATAAGTTACTCTGTATGGTTTAAAAACAAACACCTACTACAGACTCTCAAATGTAAATAAATGACTGAATTTAGATACTTTTTAATTGGATACAAGTTGTTTTTAATACATGAAACATTAAAAAATGTAACAGATTCTTTGTTCACCTGACAAGTATATTATTAAGCGGGTGAATTAATTCGAATAAAATATACAGTGATTCACTTTTTATATGATATTTCGTTGATAAGGCTGTTTCAGTATTCAGAACGAAGTTTTGCATTTTTATTACTTATCGCTGGTAGATATTATTAGTGTTACAACATTAGATAACCCTTCTTTAACTTTATGGTGAAGACTTCCTTCTCCAAATATTGTCTTTTTTCTTTTATGTTAAATAACAAACAAAAATGATGTCAGAATGGCAACGTATTTGCTTGTACCTAACCAATAGAAAGCCATTTGCAACGTAAAGAGGAAGTTTTGAAGGACATATCATTTGAAATCATCGTAAACTAGGACTTCATATACAATGCAAATATTTTATCTTTGGCCATGTCCATAGTTTAAAAAAGACTAGACAAAGTCATTCATGACATCAGTTTAGGTAAGCGCACGTTAAAATGATTTAAATCTTCATAAAAGCTTTAGTTCAAAACATACCACAAATATCTTAAATGAATACGCTTTACATATTACAGATTTGTAATTGATAACATACTGAAAGAAGGGCTACTGCATGTAAAAGTTAGTCTATGTTTTTATCATAAACAATGTATTACTTTAACAAAGTGAAACACCTTTTAACATGACAGTTACAAAACTGTCCGCATGCAAATTGTATCTAAACAATCTTGAAATGTTTATTTTTCTAAATCTGAAATGTTTTCAAAAATCACAATGTTATCTTGGGTGTTAAATCGTTGTTAGTACAGCAGCAATGATAACAAAAAAAAGGGAAAAAAACAAAAACAAATATAAAAACAACAACACAGAAAGAAACAAAACAAAAAATCAACAAAACCACAACTAACCTGATAAATATAAAAACAACACAGAAACAAAACAAACAATCGACAAAACCACAACTAACCAATAATCCGTTTTGATACGGAATTCACTACAAGAAGATCAAACTATGCATAACACTTCCCTCAAAATAAGGCAACAGAAATCTGAATAGCCAAGCTTTAATCATGTTTTTATATAAATCACAAATTTTTATTTAAAAGTACTTTCATGAAGATTTTTTTTCCTCTTATAATTGACTTTTCAATATAATTGGTCAAAATAAAAAAAGGAAACATCTTTATTATTTAGACAGTTGCCATAAATTAGGATCAATAATTAATGTAAAAGCTGAAGAATAGGTTATTCCGCTTCTTAATTTTTGGAAAACTAAACAAGGAAAACGTTGTAAAAGCTAATTTTTTTGTAATCGTTTGTCTTAAACAAATGCTAATATGTATTGATGTATACGATTTAGTAAATAGTAAGTGAGTGAAACTTTTCTTAATTGATATTGGTAAGTATACTTTTATTACATCCTTGTCAGTGGACAGTGAAGTTATGTTTTGATAATTTTACAGTGGAATTGTAAATGTAATTTTCAAAGGAGCCGGACTATATCTAGATGCTTATGTTATATCATAACTAAGCGCAAATATCATCAGAAATATACTTTTTCATGAGTTCAATGTGCTTGTTAACTAAAAATACATGAATATCTGCACATATCATTTTTAAAATGGAACAAACTTTGTTACATTTTTTCAAAATTATTTTTCAACAAGGTCAATGTGACGTCATAAATTGAAACTGTCATGAGTGAGAGCGCATGCCGTTACGCGGAAAAAAACTGTACAAAAGATTACAAACTATTCAAAAGCTTTAAAAAAATACTTCACTTGGTATATTACTAACTTGATTTACGTTTATAGAAATAAAATTTGCATAACTCATCGCATTAATTGTATTCCTTCATTTCTATCATCAGAATCAGACAATATATTAATAAATGTAATGACAAAAATTACGGTGACTAACTTCAATAGGTTAACAAATGTTTAAATAATTTTGCATATTGTGTTACTGTTGTTTATGTAGCCAATACAGAAAGTAGGGAAGAGAGCAAAATAAAAAAAAAACAATGATAAGTGAGCTCTATGCGATGTTCTATACGATGTTCGTTGTCTGATATACATTATGTTACAATTGCTTCGTGTGTTTTCAATTAACTCCGATATTGGAAATGCAATAAAGAAAAAACAATAAGGAAGATATGGTGTAGAAGGTAAAGCTTTTTTCTTGAATGATCTATATAAAACCGCATTAGGATAAAACAGGATTTATTATTCTAAAACTATAATACTTAATTATGTTTTTATAATAAACATCAGTTGATGACAAATGGTATGTAAGATTACATTACTGATTTCTGTTAAAAAAATATAAAATGTTTCTTTTTCCATGTTCATCTAGGCATTTCAATGGACCTTACCAGTGTTTACAGATTTATGTAAATTAGCTGACTTGTTATCCAATTGCTACACTGAGGTAGTACATAGTCACTGGTTGACCTGGCACAAAAGAACACATGGTTTTGTTTGTGATACTGTTTGTGAGCAGTTGACCTAGCAATGAATGGAAAAGGTGTGGCTTAATTTTCCGCTACGAAAAACCGGAAGGGTCCATTGTTCAAGCAGGCGGAATATCAATTCAAAGAAGTTGACTGTATAAGCATAACATTTTGTTTAAAGTTTCGGCACGCCAAGTGATAGTCATTACTTTGTACTGAAAGTAGCATAATGTGCAATTTCTTGACAGGAAGTGTGTTAATATTTGGGTGAATTAATTGATAATATATGTTCGTTATCTTATGCTTAATTGTGTATCCTTTTAAGGCACTGTCACACTAGACTGCGTTTCCACCGCGTTTGTTTGCACGGCGTTGTTAACTGTAACACAGCGTCGCGAGATCGCAGTAAAAAAATGTAATGTTTTTAAATGGCATGGATACTTCACGGCGTCTTCAAGGCGTCCTCACGGCGGTCATGGCGATGCTACGGTGCTTCCACGGCGTTTTAAATTTCGATTGTCTGCATTCGAACTGCGCTTTTACTGCGTTCTTTGTGCGTTTTTACGGCGTTCACACGACGCTATCGCGGCGCTTACACGGCGCTAAAATTAAAAAGCCTCGTAAAAACGCCGTGCACATGTAGTATAAACGCGGTAGAGACGCCGCACAATCTCCGTTCGAACTGCGCTTTTTTACTGCGTTCTTTGTGCGTTTTATGGCGTTCACACGACGCTATCGCGGCGCTTACACGGCGCTTAAATTAAAAAGCCTCGTAAAAACGCCGTGCACATGTAGTATAAACGCGGTAGAGACGCTGCACAATCTCCGTGCAAGCGTCGTGGATAACCACTGCGTTCATTCGACGTTTTTTTGTGCTTTAACGGCACTCCTGTTGCGTTGTAGGAGATGCTACTGAGTTGATACGACGTTCTTACTGTGATCCCACTGAACGCCGAGTGATTGGGTTTACTAGTATATCATTTATGTTTTAAAAATAAAGCCTATTGTTACACGTGCATCATACAATATTGAGCCGTATATGTATGCTTTACATTATCCCAGTCAGTCGAAAAAAAACTTAACTTTTTTGATTTATACATCTGGTAATTTAGATTATAAGATTATAACACAGAAACGTTCATATAGAAGCTGTGGTATGAATAATGTTGAAAAAGGGAGGCGAAAACTTCCCATTGTAAAGCTCAATCAGGAGCTATAATTATCAATATTCATGTTTTAAATATGTATAATTAGACTGCCCTTCAATCGATATAAAAAGCGTTCTAGCATTGTTGTCGATTTTCTTAGACCTATGACGCTCATCAGAACTAAATGCCTTTCGAATTCGCTCAACAAATGTTTAATTTTATTTCAAATTGCGAATAGTTCAGTTTTCTAACAGTGGTTTCGGAACGATCTAGCCGACATTGTACATCTAGTATCTAGCAGTATTTAAATAGAATAAACTAGAGCTTTCAAAGTAATTATCACTGTTATATTTTAATGTTTTAACCAAACATATGAAAATGGCCACCTATATGACTGAAAAACTGTTGGAAAAAGGCGTAAAATGAAACAAACAAACAAACATATGAAAATGGGTCACACTGGTGTGTTAAAAGGTATATACGTTTAGTGTGCAGATAAAGACTAGGCTAAACGTGTGTATTACGCATGGACTCTTATTGCTAAAGGTGTGTCGAATGTGTAACTAAATATATGACAATAGTGAATAATTTCACTCATATCTTATAATTTATATATGATAGGTACGCCTTATACACGTAATAAATGTGATGTGTGTTTACAGCAGGTTTATTGGTAAACAAACATAAAAATAAAGACCATGTTTCATAAAATAAGTTTACTTTACAAAACACTTATTTAAGTTTGAATAAGCAAGTTATATGAAACATAAGCACAGCAATAGATAAAATGAAAACAAATAAATTTATCATTTAGGTTATAACATGGAAAACTATCTCTCCCAGAGGCATACAGTAAATTGCTCTAACGCTCCTTTCGAGCTAGTGCATGTCGTCGTATTCTTGTTCTATTATATATTTTGCATAAGCACAGAATCGAATATCGAAAATTGAAGAAAATGCTATACTATATACACTTGAATAAAAGTTTCAAAATAATGAACAGTTTCATGTTTGAATTGCAGTTGTGGCGAGTTTGGCAATTGGTTGTGTATTTTTGAAATATGAAATTTAATTCTGTATATTGAGGTATAAGACTGCATTTTAATATATCTTATATCTCATTCTAAAGTTGGGACATGTTACATAAAGAAGAAAAAAACACTTAGTTTAAAAGTTAACTGTGTAGAAGGAATAAATGCTTATCTAAAACAATCATAAACAAATATGATTTTAATCCCGACACACCGTCATGTAGTTACTTTTGCTTCCTAATGCTTTTTGGAACCGACAGCTTCAAATGTATTTTGACCCCGCCTATATACTATTTCATCACATAAACCATGGCGAAGGAGTGTAATAAAGCCATTAAATAAGACACGATATTACACTAGACGATATTACACTAGTGTAATAACACTTTGAGGTGACGTAATTTGCGCTATAAACATAGCGTTAAAGCGCGCTTATGTTCGCGTTTCAAATAAAAATGGCTCTTGTTAACAGTTTACCGTTCTTATTTTTTATATGTGATAATAGAATAATATATTCGTGTAGATTCAATACTACATTTATTGAACTAGTTGAATAAAATCATATAATGCGAGCCTCTGTAGTATTTAACCTACACTCGGCGACATGCACAATCTCTGAATTTGCTAAATCTCCGAAGGAGGTAGCTCTGTGAAAGTATGTCATATGAAAGCAATGTCTCAAACCAAATATATAAACAAGAGGGCCATGATAGCCCTGAGTCGCTCACCAGAAACAACTGCTTTTCAGTGTAGGAATGTCAATATATTCTAATATTAAATTTGAGCATAGAATAGGTTTAAACAATTATTTGAAGAAATGCCATGACCTGGGGCATTTAAGCTTAAGCTTAAACGGGGCTAATCAAATTAATATGAGCAAACTTGATAAAAGACTACCTAAGTATGCTACAAAGTTTGGTAATCATATTTCAATTATTTCAGTAGGAAATGATGTTCGAAGGTTTTTTATATTTCTAGCTTTAGTGGCCCCTAAAAGGGGCTAATCAAATTAAAATAAGCAAACTTGATAAAAGAGTACCCACGAATGCTACAGACAAAGTTTGGTGATCATCCATCAATTGGTTCTGAAGTAGAATATGTTTAAAGTTTTTTCTATTTTTAATTTTAGCGGCCCCTTAAAGGGGCTTATCAAATTAATGTGAGCAGACTTGATAAAAGATTACCCAAAAATGCTACAGACAAAGTTTGGTGAGCATCCATCAATTAGTTCTCTAGCAATAGACGTTTAAACGTATATCTATTTTTTATTTCAGCGGCCCCTAAAAGGGACAAAGTTTGGTGATCATCCATCAATTAGTTCTGTAGCAGAAGATGTTTAAGGGTTTTCTATTTTTAGCCCTAGAGACCCCTAAAAGGGACCAATCAAATAAATATGAGCAAACTTGATAAAAGACTACCCAAGAATGCTACAGGCAAAGTTTCGTGATCATCCATCAATAAGTTCTGTAGAAGAAGATGTTTAAAGGTTTTTCTATTTTTAGCTCTGCTGACCCCTAAAAGGGGCAATTGGAATGACATGAGCAAATTCAAATGTGACTGCCACAAGGATGCTACAGACCAAATTTGTAGTAAATCTGCTTAGTTGTTTCAGAGAAGAAGACGACTGTTGACTCATGACGACGGACGACGGACAACGGACGCCGGAGCATCCCCCTTTGATACTAATAGCTCACCCTAAGCCTTCGGCTCTGGTGAGCTAAAAACATAAACAGCTACAGTTCAAAATCATAGATTATCAAAAATAGATGTAAATTGAAGTTTTGGGTTGATTCGTAGTAAATAATGAAAAGCGCAACATCTCTCAAAACCTTAATCAAATAATCACGCAGATGTGTTTCATGCCTTTTTAATTATATCAAGAATAAAATGAAAATGTGTGCAGCATATTTGAATGCTTAAATGATAAGGGAGTCTACTGAGATCTTTTTACTAGAAACCATTTTTGGAGATTTATGTTCTATATGATGCAAGTGTAAATAATTAACTTGTATGCAAAATTTGCAGCTATTGCTCACTCTGTTTTTCCAGAAAAATATTTTATTATACAAAATGACAAAACATGAAAAGCTACTAAACGCTTACATTTTCACAATGGCGAAGAATCGCACAAACAAATGATTTTATATTTATTTTTACAATGTCATTTTAATTAAATGTTTTTATATCTTTTTTTTCATTTTAAGGTTCCCTGATCTATGTTAGAATTGTACTTATTTATCTAAAAGATATTTTTTTTGCCTTTGAATCCCGGTGGATTCAGTGACCTTTTATACTTGTCTGGTACTTCGGGATCATAGATATTAATGTTTTTATTATTGAGGATTGAATACCGATTACACCGCAGCTACGGACATGAGAGATATTGCGCATTATTTTCTTTTTTATATTTACAGTTTTAATAAAATCGAGTCTGGAGTTAGAGTTTCCAACTCTTTGCATTATTTTGATTTCTAGCGAAGGATCTCTCCCGTTTTTAAAGTGTGTTCCGTTTATAAAACTTACCAATTCATTAAATGAATTTAATTCTTCATAAAGCAAAATTAATATTAAATATGTGCAATATATTACAATGCTAAATGTATAATTATGTTTTGATACAAAATGAACCTATGGACTATTTCATTAATACTACTGTGCATAAATCTAAGAAATAAATTCAAAAATAACATACATACACAAGCACAAATCTGTTCGTATATTTTAGTTTATCCAATATATTCAAATCATTGCCAGTTTTGGCAGTAAGATTGTTTTTAAATTTGTTATAAGTGGCTAATATTAATTGTGTATTTCTATAAACTAATCAACAATGTATGTATATCTTTTCAAAAGATTTAACAGTTAAATACAATTATATTTACTTTCTTTGGTAGCCACTGTATTTTATGCATATGAAAATGATCACATTTACCTTGCAATCGGCTGTAATAGGAAACATGAAAGTACACAGTTTACTTCATGTCAAAATAATTTAAGATTCATTAACAACTATCAGTATGATATAAAATAAAACATACGTATGACGAGTAACAAAATAATTGATTAAAATGATTCATGATTTTTTATCGTTTATGATGTCGAGACCATAATATATAAACTAATGAAATATACAGTAATCACATTTTTGCGATATAACGTGTAAGCTGTTCTAAAACTTGATCATTCTGTCATTTACATTGTCTCTTAGATACTAGTCAATAGACGAACACACCGATTGTTTTATTTTTTTCCTTCGCTATGTAAGCCATATGTAAGTTTAAGTATTCTATTCATTTATTGATATCGGAGCGGTTTTCATTGTTCTTTTTCGCTTTTTCATGTTACGTCCTGGTTTATTGATGAGGTCTTTGATTTTCCTTATCATGTATGCAATTAGATCGTGATCCGGACCTGTGCGATTTTGTTGAACCACTTCGTCGATGCTTGCTCCAAGAATGGCGAGGAAAATGGTTAGGAAAAAATAAACGACAATCAGAATGTATAACATAAAGAAAACTTTCGCCAACACGGGATTTGTTTCATTTATTTCTGTGAATCTACTCTTTCCGATCATCGCTATAAAAAGTGTTCCCATACACTGGTATACATTTCTGTAGGATTCAAGTTGGGAACCAAAGAGTAGCAATGCTAGTGCACAGAATCCGGCAAAAACCAGAACAAATGATAAGCCATACCAAAACAGATCTTTGCCACAATTCCTGAAGATATCCACAATTCCTTTCAAATGTTTAAGTGTAGACAGTACCACGAGCATCCTCATTGTGGCTAGAAATGCTAACACACCTAAAGCCAGTACAAAACCTTGATCCCAAACCACAATATGACTAAAGTTTACAAAAAGCTTATTATCTTGTTTGAACTTCTCGATCGTTTCATTGGAGAATTGTAGACGAAAACAAGATAAAACTATGGCTGTAGCTGAAACAAGAAAGAGGAAAAGGTCGTAAACAGTCCAAAATTGTTTGAAGTACTCAGATCTTAGTCGGTAAAGTCGCAGACAAATTCGGATGAAAAAGCATGTGTTATAAATCACAAACAATATTTCGCATACTAGAGTCCACGTTCCAGTCGCCCCATGGTGTGGATAAACACGTAATGGGTATGTATTATACGTGGTAAATGCACCGCCTGTTTGAGGAAACTCTGTCATAAACATATTGTAAACAAACAAGTTTGTAGAGGCGTCGTAAAGTGTAAACTCTATTATCACAGCACGTGTCTGACGATCAATCCATAGGTTTTTATACAGTTCGTTAATAGTGACGATAGAATAATTGAGATTAACATGAAGTGATGCTATATAACCTCCGCCACCGTATGTTGTGTAGTATCCTGTCAAAGGTACTCCCCAGATATCTAGAGCTGGAAGAAAATAAATGGTAAATACAAGCATAACATTCGCTTTTTGATGTTTTGTTTTGTTGTTGTTGTTTGTTTGTTTTTGTTTTGTTTTTTTGCTTTTCTTTTCTTTTCTTTTTTTCTTCTGTTTTCTTTTTTTCTTATTAATAATTCTTTTTAATCAAATTCAAATCAAGTTTAAATATTATTATAGAGATGCTGAGGAGCCCTAAAGTTCACCAAGATGACACAAGTTGATATTTTTTACATTTCGACTGAAATGATTTTATCACTTTAAACATAACGATAGCTATCAAGCTTTAAAAATGTTTTATCATAAGTTTTACTATGAAGAGTTTAAATGCATTTATCTGGACTTTGTTCGGTTCGTGATTTTTTTAACTTACACGATCTGAATTTCCAAGCCGAGGATGTTACATTATAAACAGTCTCTAATAAGTTGCATGGGTAATTCTTCCATCCAATACAATAGTTACTGTCCTCTTCATTCAGCATGTGATATTCACCATAACATGATGTCCGGTCAATATAAGGTATGTCACACGTACCTTAATGTATTTATATAATAAAAGATAACCTTTCAGTTGTGTTCAAAAATAGTTTAATACAACTACTTCCGGTTATTTAATATACACGAGTTTTTCTCATGGCTGCAGACCTACGGCTGGACAAACATATTTCAAGTAATTAAAGCTGAATAACATTTTAAGAACAGTAAAACAAATCAAGATTCAAGTAATAATTTACATGCAGTATGAGATCTAAGACTGATTTTGCATTACATTTATTTTCATTATATTTCAACTGTGACTCTCGCAGTTAGGGCTATTTTGCATATTTTTTTTACTTCTTTCCTGAGTAAATTTCTTGGATTGTAAGTGCCGATTGCAATGTGTTCATTTCTCTAAATTACTTATATGCATATTATCAATCAATAAGTTTAATGTGACTATATTTGTAGTTTACAAAGGTTACATTTTGGATACCTCGTTTGATTCGCAGCTGTCGAAGTCTTGGCGGCCCAAGCCTAAGATGATGATCATGTGTGAATTGCCGTTCTGTCCAGTGTAAGACCATACCGTACTCATCACGTTCACGGAATAGGTACGGGATCATTGTATCATTTATCCACTTAAACAAATCATTTGGTGCTTTTATCTTTAAAAAAATGAAAATGGAAGTCGGCAAATACATCAATATTATGTTTGCTACTCAGAAAAGAAAATAAATATTCGCAGCGACTTTTGAATGTTAATCAGTAATTGCTGAAACCATTTATATATTAGATATGGTCTAGAAATTTTATTCTCCTATTATCTAATAAATATTCACACATACTATTTCTGGAATATTTTAGGTGTATTTGTCTGTTCTAAAATTAACAACCTTTATATAGCAGCATCAATACACGCTGAAAGTATACAAGAAGAGTAAGTAAAATCTGACAATTTACCGAGTGAAACTTCTGGGTATGACGTGGTGTAACAAGTCTATTGCCAAGATGCGTGTGCTGTAGAAACGACCTGTCATCTCTGTTGGAATAGCAAATTACTGACACAATTATAATAAAAATAAGGTTCAATTTAATGTCCTTCAAAGATTTCTGGAAGTTTGTATACTGTCGGTGTTTCTCTTGCGCTTGTTTAAGATTATCTCCCTGAACAGGCGTTGAGACATTCCTAGGATTCACTGACAATGGAAAAATCAATATTATTAATCACGATGTTCCATTTTCAAAGTCTGACAAGTGTTACTGTGTTTCAATATTTTAGCTCATATGTTTTATCTTACTGTTTATGTTTGTTGTTTTGTTTAATTGTTTCAATCGCTTTTAAAGAACAATTTTGTTTTCAAATTAGAGATAATTTAGCCTGAACCTGTTGGTAATGGCATTTATTCTTAAGAAAGAAAAACAGATAACTTACATTTGTAAGACTGTAACTCCGTCACAATAGATTTCAGCACAGTCACGCTAGATGAAACGGTGTCTGTGTTAAGACAATTAGTTATATAATATAACACAACTTATAACAAATGTTAAAGGAAGGTTCCCTAGATATCTATCACAACAAATTGATGAAGATGAAAATCGAAAATTTGAATTTAATGACTTTCCATCAGAGTTTTTAAAGCAAAATTTCGGAAAAATAGAGTGAAATAAGAATCCCTAAAGAAAGCCCAACGCCTCAAAATTGAAAATGTTGCGGACTCGGTTTGATTGTGCCTGTTTATGGACGGTACTTAAAAGTGCAAGTTACCTCCACGCCCCCTAGCACCGGCTTAAGCAGAATTCAACATTTAACATGAACTGGTAAAATTTAGAATTTTGAAACATCCGCAGATGTGTTCATATGGCGGTTACATAGAACTAAAATACCACAAGCACAACAATAATGCGTGCTTCATCCTGACAAGGGGGTGGGTGAGCACGTGATATTTTGTTTTCAGTAACATGTTGTTACCGCTTACGGCCCCGCTCAGGTTTTTAAGTGAATTTGCTTAATTTTTATTTGTATTTGTATTACAATATTTGAATAATAAACATATACCATGTTTAAGGCAAATATTTGCAGACACCAATGTTATATTATTTATTGTAGCTCTTTAAGATTTCTCATTATGCTTGCCAACAGTTTTCCATGCGGCAATATTTGGTAACATTGTGTCATGTCACAATTTCTGCGAGGATATAAGGAAACGTACAAGAGCTGCACTAGATAAAAATTTACAAAATATCAAAAACATATTTTCCTATACTTCAAAAGAGACTGTATAGAAACTATTAGTATTTCTAAAATATCAAATTCAGGGCTCGCGCTAGAAGGAGCCAATGATCAAATTTAATTCGAGCAGATATATCTTTTAAAAATTCACTTCTTTCTCATGTAGTTGAGATAGGATGGTAAAAAAACAATATCTTTTACTCACTTTCGTCTCTGCCAAGGCTTTGTCTATATTTGGCGACAGTTTTGGTAGCACAAGAGTCCTTTCTCAAAGTTCTTGAATGTAAGCTCACAGCAAGAAGTAGGGAAATACAGATGACCTACAACAAACAGTCTAACTATGTACCAGTAGCATGTAAACTTTCAGTTGTTCTTTAACGAATGACTGGGACTGACTTTGGTTTGCCTTTGTCCATTTTCCGTCATGAACAACAATTCAAGATCTTATTATACTATATAGCAGAACGCAGTTGTTTTATATGAATATATCATCTGGCATTAGAAAACATTATGTATTTATGGTAATGGTAAAAGTATCTATAAAGAAATGTCGATATGTGTTTGTACAATATACACTAGCGGTGAGAGACCTTACATTTGACGTAATTTATTTCTATTTGTAACGGCAATTATATAATGTATTTGATTGTATATGATTTCAGTCAATGATTATTGTCTTTAGTTATTGCACACTTAAAGGGTATAAATCTATATCTTATGAAATATTTTAATAAAATATTCAAACAGAAAAATTAAATTGGTTCCATTATCATATATGGTTGATTCCCGATAAAGTTGTAACATAGAATGTCTCTGTTATTTAACACACATGAATATTGTACGTACACAGAATAAAATGTTCCGAACAAAATATTATTTTCTATTTCAAGTAAGTTTTTATCCGTTAAGCAATGATTTTTGCATGCGTCTTTCGCTTTTAAGGCAATTATATGTTATGTTTATTTCATAAAAGCATTTTTGAAGTATTCTTTTTTAAAATTCAAACAAATTTTTTTCCAGCAGATATATAGCTTTATACACATGCACAACAATATAAAATATAAATTTTCTTGTAAACTCGTCCTGGAACAGTTATCGTAATGATGTACGTACTACAAAAGGGTCTATGAGTAAAAATGATTCCAGTAAAGACATGGTCAATGTTGATAGCCACTCCTCAGATTTTTGTTTACCCCATTCCATACTATACAACAGAACAAAAGCAACAGGAGTAACCGTTCCTCCCGCAACAAGAAACCAATCTATGTATATAAACCTGCAAACATTAACAAAATATCTAATTATAACAAAGAAACGATTTGCAGATAGTTATCAAAGAGACTGAAACAGATAAACAATACAATCATGAATTTATTTACATGTATATAAAACAATGAAATAGTATAATTGTAACTTTAAGTACAATAGTGTTGAAATACTGTTTGGAAAAGGCATAAATGAAACAAACAAACAAACAAAATATTTTTGTTTAAATATTACACTAATATTGTTATAACAATACAGTAATGTGGTTATTACGGTTACCATGAAGTATTATAACACGTTATCATTTTATGTGCGTCTATGAAATAAAAAACCAACGAGACATAGACTATACAATAAAACCATGTGCTGTACAAAATCAAATAAATTTCTTTTTTCCGTTACTTCGTTCCTTTTTTAGTTATACTTGAATAATTATCAACTTTTTCTTACGTGGATTTGAAGAAATAAATAAAAATTATTCATACTTTGAGATGATGTTTGTAATTGAAACAATATATATAAAGATATAATATACATATATATAGTAAAACCTGAACTTCATGTAAAGATGTAGATGAAAATAAATCTATGTATATGCTGCATTTTTGTTTAATTATAAATTATTAACATTATAAAAAAAGAACTTAATGATATCGAAAGAAATCAAGTGTTGTTACAAACGAGTTAATATAATGCATTTTAATTGCGCCGAAAAGACAGTAGCTACACGTTTGTATCGGATGTTAGCTATATTTATAGAAAGTTTTTTCTCACCAATGTGGTAACAGTAAACTGTACCCCGTCTGTGATGCTTCCATTAGAAAAGACGCTGAGTGAAGTAATTCATCATGCTGCACCTTTTCACTTGTCTTCTGTCGATACTCAGACCCGTGTACACAACATTGACTGTGAGGGCAGTTTTTGCTGCAGGTCTTGTTATTTGTTTCCTGTTTTCTTTTAGTTCTTTTAAATAGTTCGGTAAGAAAAAATACCGGTACAGTTGTAATCAAGGCTGAGAAAATTGATATGTATATCTGGAAACATACAAATGAATTTATAAAAAAAAAGTTTTTAATTAAACATAACATAACAGTACTTGAAAGAAAATTCCATTCACAGTTTAAGATTTTTTATAGATTTTATACTGACAATAATATTCTATTGAAAAAAAATAGATTTTGAATTTTGACCAATAATAATAGAGCAAGAAATTTAAAAGTATTTTTTTCTAGACTTCAAACTAAATTATTTGCTTGAGAAATGATCCACAAATAACAAGCACTAAAATCTTAATTTATAAAATCACAGGCCCTGCCCCACAAACCCTATCTGTTAAACTCAAATATCTTCTTTATCAAAATGATGCAAAGTTTAAATTTATTTTAGGACATTTATTTCTGTCATAAAAATAATGTAGTTCAGTAAGTAAATTAATAAAACGTGTTAAGTGTGTTATTTTGTTATTTGGTCCGATATCTTATTCTGATTTTAAAAATAATTATAACTCAATGATTTTGTTTATGTAGATACTAAGATTGTTGAAATTACTTTCTGATTAGAAGATCCTATGTACGGTAAAAGAAAATCAATAAAATGCTACCAACTTGTTGTGATGTAAATCGGAATGGTCCTATTTGTAGCAATGCTGGCGTCTGGTAGTTAGGCTCCGGGTTGAAATACAATGCGCTAGCTAACACGTTAAGCATTATAAACACGAGCGCACAGGACGCACGTTGAACACGTGTAAAAACACTCATTGCTGGTCGATAAACTATTGATATAAACATATGCCCTTCTGAAAGTCTATGTCTCAAATTACCAAAGAATCTAGATTCCAAATCTAATGGTTGGTTTGTTGGTACCGGCGATAACTTAGCTTCTAGACATGTTTCAATAGATAGCCAGGTCTCGAAAGGAAAGAAATATCTGCAAAGACATAAATGAAAGACTTTCATTGAAATATTATGTAAGATTTCTCATCAGCCATTATTGTTTCAGTGATGCATGCTGTTTAAAAAAGACAAATATATTTAATAAAATATGTTTTTGAAAATGGTAAGCATTTGGAAAGAAATATAGGTGTGGAAAATGAATCGTTGGGTATCGACCAACACAGCTTTGTCAGACTGCAATGTTTTTTACAAATATATTTAAACCATGCTTTGCTCAAGATTCGAAACATTAAAGATTCATTATATTTAGAAGATCGCTTTGTTGTAGATATGATAAATAATTATCGTTAAGACTGCCAATATTTTCTTTAGAAACAATAGATTCAAGCTTGAAACACTTTACTTATATTTACACTTTACTTTATTGTAAATGAATATGTATGATACATTAACTAAGTGCATTTTTCTGTACTAACGTTTTATGCCGATGCAAGTCATATACATCGACTTGATTAAGGTACCATGATGCAAATCTGCCTTCACCACTATTGTCATGCCATATATGAAGACTCTGCAAATCACCTAGATCTTCGCACGTCGACATAACGAAAGTCATAATACTGCCTGTACTAAACTCCTTAAATAATTGCAAGACAACTTATGTGTTAGAATCAGTACTACAAAGTGCTGAGGTTCATTTGATAAGCTAGAATTGAGTGTGAAATAGTTCGTCAAACAAAGTGTATACAATACTTAATCACTATAAATGTACTCATTCATAAAACGCAAAAGAAGCGAAAGATGCCTCAGCTATATGGTCGATGATTAACATTTTGAAAACTATAACTGAAAAGTTTAAGAAAAATAAAAATGATAGCGGTTCTGAAGCTTAATGTGCCATTAATGAATATAATAACCTAACTACTTTGTTCGAATAAGTTTGCACATACAAACCTTTCTTATACCATCAAATAATTCCCTGTGACCTGAACTTTCATATTCACCACCGAGTTGGAAAGCAACACGTGATCTTGTTCCAGCTTCTCTGCGCATGCCCGTAACTACTCTTATCACATAAAAGTATTCATCAGTAATAAAATTATCACGAAGTGGTGTTATAACCCACTGAAACCATGGAAAAATATCAATAACAAACGATGAGCTAATAGGTTAAAAAAACATTAATTTTCCATATAATATATTTTGCAATTGCTTGTTATTTACTGGTTTGCTCTGTAAATTCAGAGCATTTCAGGCGTGTTTCTAATAATTAAACGTTTAGCCGTCAAGTCGCAAAATGCATTTGAGATAAATGAAAACGATACAAACTATTAACAACAGTAATACAGAAAAAATCATCAGTATCACTAGTTGCATTCAAATTTATCTGAGGGACAAAATAAACAATTGCAGATATGACACATTTCTATTCTTTTACAAGAGAGCATTTGTTAGAGTAAAATTGTGTTCAGATTTTTTGCCTTGGATAAATGTTTGTTGGCCTATCGGCTCAGATATATAATCCTTAAAATATTTTATACTGAGACATTACGATATAGTAATAATAATAAAAGAAAAAACACAATGATAATAAACAATATTAATAACAAAATAAAATATAAAATATTTTAAAGTAGTTTTTATCATACTTTCTTCTTAAGTGTCCCGTTTTGATTGGTACTTTCCACATGATTTGAGATTCTTAATTCATTTAAAAGCGTACGCTAGGGTAACATAAACATATAACAGAATGAAATCTACATAATAGAAATTAAATTTTGCATGATCTTAGAGAGTGATAATGGAAACATTTTATATAATGTGCTCTTGCATTTGAACTTGTTGCTCATTTCGAGAAAGGATAAAACATAATCAAGATTATTTCTTCATTATTGAAAGCCTCCTGATTCATGCTAATTTTCATGAAAGTCTTGAAAATGTATTAAAAATATAAATTCTTTGAATTGAACAAAGAAAATCATTTTCACATTGCAAACAGCACTAAAAACCCGTGTAAATTTCCAAAAAGAGATCAGAATATACATAGATAGCCCTTACTGCGTTCGTAACGCAGTAGACATATGGCGAAAAATACTGCAAAATCAGTCATAAATCGCTCATACATGTAACATGGAAATTATTATTTTTATCTTAAATCTGTTTTATTTCTCTTGAAATCACAGTACTTTTTTCTCAAGTTTGATTTTCTGGAAATATTTTGCTCATCTGGAGGCATGCAGTTTTAAAGCTTTGGTAATTTTCAAAACAAATGATAAATTTTTAAGGAATGTAATATTAAACAGAAAAAAATGAAAGGAACACAAGTATTTCAGGGAATTTCGTTATTTTTTTCTTTGTTCCGTGACCTAGGATAAAATGAGAAACACAAACAGTAGTAAAATAATGTTTTTAAAACTTAAACATGAATATAAGTTATCTGCCGCCTTTGAAATAACCTGAGTTTTCAAAATCTCAAATTCAAGGGCAGGTAATTCAAAATTGATGTCCGTCGATGACTCCTATAATTTGCGCTTGAAAAATTGCTGCTATAATATTCTAAGACCGTGTTAACTTTAAATAAATTCTATTACGCAGTTTTCATAATTTACAGTTTTAACAACATCAGTATTTCATTGTAAAAACGAATGTGAACCTTTAATTTATCTTTCCTGTCTAGTCGGGCGAGCAAAATCACTGAAATAATGTAGATAATGAAGATCCCAGTAAGCGTTCCGATAACCGCAGCTTGGCTTAGAGGAGAGAACTTAAGAAATACGTTTGAAAAATCAATAGCGTTTGGGGCCACGAAGAAAGAATTTCCAAAAACCATATCAGTCACTTCTCGGCAAAGACAAACAACTTTTTCTTCTCTCCGAAGCCAATCAATCAGCTGAAACAAAAGTAGGGAGTTAACAGAACAAAGTAAGAATAAGACATTCAGTTTCTACCTACTTTTGGTGACATGCATTATCAGATCATATGGGAAATTGGTAAATTAATATTTTGTATAAATGAGCTACTCCGCTTTGATAAGCTTTGGTGAACAAAACTAATCAGGCGTTTGCACATGTTTCACGGGGATTTTTGTGTTCGATTTGTTATTTCATTTTTTTTTCGAGGTTGGGAATTAATGGGGAAGGTAAAGTGTATAAAGCTCGTTTATTTGCTGCTTGCTGCAAAAAATATTGTTTGAATTTTTTAAACAAAATACTTCAAAAATGCCATAATTAGAGTAATATGGTAGTATATTGCCTTACAAGCGAATGGCGCATGCACAAAGGCATTGCTAAACAGCTAATAGCCTACTTAAATTGCAGACTAGTATTTAAGTTCCGGAACATTTCATTTGCATGTATGTTACATAAAAACATTCTATATTACAACTTTTCAGGGAAGTGGAAACAATATACTTTTTATATAAATTTTTGTAAAACTATTTCATAAGATATAGCTTTATACCATTTAGGCACACTATGCTTAAGATTTTTTTGTTGTAATTCTTATAGAAATGTCAAACATGTGTTTGATATTGTCTCAATAATAAATTTAGAGTATGTTACATATTTAAATTCTGAAGAAAGTAGCACTGAACGTGCAATAATGTGTCATAAAGGTAGCAAAATGAAAATAATGTAGTATTTTGACTTCCATACAAAATACTTATACATATTTAAATTCTGAAGAAAGTAGCACTGAACGTGCAATAATGTGTCATAATGGTAGCAAAAAGAAAATAAATAATTCACACAAAATACTATAAGTATAAACATTGGCTGAGAGAACAAAATCAGTAAAAGATAGGTTATAATTTACAAATAGAACATGGCCTTGAGGTCAATATGCAGGTTTACGGACAGACAAACCAGTCCGTAAACTAAGGCCATGTTTTTATTTTACCTAATCTTAATCCTTTCATTCCTTTTGTTTCTGTCTTTTTTACTATAATTAGCTTTCAAATAATTATTTATTTGTTCAGTGTGTGAAATATCTCAAACCCAAGTCGGATTTTTTATTATTATTTTCAAGCGATTCAGAAAAAAGAATCATGCTCTTCTTATGCGGTTTATGGACCAGATGACGTCATATTAAAAATAGAAGGGCGTATGCAAATGAGGTATGATATGGAAAATTAGTATAATTTGGAAACTGTAACGAGATACTAGACATGTTTCTGAGACATAAAGGGCCTTTAAGGATTGGAATATTAAACACAGTCGCACAGTATTACCATTTCACTATATTCAGTGTTATTAATAACCGCTCATTTTTCAGTTAACAAATATAATTATTAAGTAAAATTATGTTTACAAAATAATGGTGTTTTTCATTGTTCGTACCTGACACTTCTTTGCATTCCATTGTGACTTTTCTTCTTCCCATGTTAGACATCCCATGGTTGCTATTGTAATGTTATAATCAAATGTTTCGTCTGAAATTAGCAAAAAGGTTTACAGACCCTAATGGCTACCAATAAGAATCAGCTTTTTATTACTTTTATTTTTATCATTATCAGACAATATAACATATACTGTATCTTTTTTCAAATATTAACCGTTAATTTAAAAATAATTATATCTTTAATTTAAGTGCCCACAATTGCTCTTTGTAATATTGTGTAACAATTAAAAATAGTAAGTTTCATATGAAATTTATCTTTGTAGAAATCATTTAAGTTTTTGTTTTCTATAGTGTATGACCTTTTCATAGGTCATGCAAAGAGATAAATTATCATTGATTTGATTATTAATCTCAAAATAAAAATGCATACGCGTAAAATACATTCCCCTTTCGCAACAACAAGAATGTCACATTTTATCGATAACTAAACTCGATGCCAATTTGAGAAAAAAACTGATAAAAGCATCATCACAGATAGAAAAACAAGACATAAATATATAACTTTTAAGATTAATATAGATTTGAATATAAATATTTAGCGCATGTATCACACTTTGAACCTGATACTTATTGAATTTTTCTTGTTCATTGTTTCTAATTTACATTAATGCATTATTTATATTAGTTTGTTTCTCTATTTCTATAACACAGCCGTATTTTGTGTGCCTATCTTTATAAATGTCTTGAGAAAGGTGTTCATTTCACTTAAAAAGACATTATAAAATGTTCAGTTGCTTGGACTGGCATTCGAACAACAGCCTTTGACAAATGTTAGCAATTTTGTTTTATTTAAAAAGTTTTATGAACTTTCATGTCATGTAACAATCAGCAATTTAATGTGATTATGGGATATAACACGATGTTCTCAACAAAGCCATCAATGAAATACGCGTGCCAAAACAAGAACAAGAACTGACATTTGAAACATTCTACATACTTAATGCGAAAGAGCATTTGAAGCTTCCTGTACAAACATCAACATCAATAGGTTACACTACTAAATTGATGTAATTAGTACGAAACATTTAAAAATTGTGTTATAATAAAACAAAATTGCTTGAATATAATGCTATGACGATATGCTTTGATCTTAGGTACGGTAACCTTGTTCAACAGAACTGTTTTATGCTTATATATTAGAAAAATAAATGGAACTGATAACAGAGTTTGATTAAAATAAATAGGCAGCATAAAATCACATTATTGTACCTTCATCCAGTTCTTCTATACTTCTTCGCAAGTTTTCTTGGTCCGCTTTTGATTTATCTATAATACGAAAACATTCATCCACTTTAAAAGCTTTATTCCTCCTTAGTTTTCCAAATAAATACGATCCATTATGAACCTTCAAATTGATGATGGATAAGCATATTTATATCTTTAGATCTCCTACATTTAATAAACGTTTTGCAAAAATAAAAAGGGAATGCTTATAAGGATGATAAAGAAACTGTAAAAGGGAATATGATAAAACAAGAAAAACAACGGTAAAGGTAAAAGAACATCATGAGAAAACATCTGATATTTAATAATGTTTCAGAAAATGACAAAATGGTTGTAAAGGTTTAAAACATGTATTACACTGATTTGACATTTATGTAAGAATTAACTGGTTCATTGTTTTTTCTTAGAGAAATGGCATTGAGATACTATCTCTAAACTGCTTTAGAATAACTGATATCAATTGATAGTGTTTTAGATTAGCTGATATCTTTATTTGAAACAGTCGAATTATACCGCCACTAAAAAGCAAATATTTATAGCAGACCAACATTCTAACACTTCTTTGTATTTTTTCCTAATGAAATGATAGCTTCTGCACAAATGACATTAATAGTTTATCGAACTTTGTCACCCAAGCAACAAGGTTCCTATTTAAATAACCATTTTAAATACCTTCAATCTGTATATCCTTAGTTAGCAAAGACCATTTAGAATATTTTTAATAAACATGCTACTCACTAATTCCTTGAAAGCTTATTGCCAAAAAAGTAACTCCAGTGTGTCCTTTCATACGATGTGGATCTATACATGCTTGCCAATGTCTGTCATTAAACACGCGGAATTTAAGGTCGTAATCAATTATAGATGGCGATTTGCTGAATTTTATATAAATAAGGTAGCTTTTTAGATCCTGATTTCCGAGCGGTTGGACAACGACACAAACACTGTCAGTACTTTTTTGATATAGAAATCTATGGTACATAAATTTAGAGGCATCCTCTTTGTCCACATGAGGTGTGATAGTTGTCGGTTTCGGAGGAATGACCTTTTGTTCAAAAGTTATATGTTTAGCTGACACGCGTTTCTCTGCTGTTTTCATGTCTAATCGTAGCACTCTTGAGGTTATTAGGCTTGATGTTCCATCATTATCATACATGTACACATTGTCCTTGAACTCAAATGCCTAGAAATAGATATACGTATAATATACGATATATTGATATCATATATTTACAGACCACAGTATGAAATTTTGCAAAAAAGCATTAAGAACTTAAATACAAAATGTGTCGTTTCGAAATTGTCTTTAATTAAATGTAACGTACATTAATAACATATGTCATCAAAAAGCATCCTTAATTGTCTCCATAAAAGAAAAGAAAATATATAATATGAAATGGAACGACATTAGTCTCGATATTTAAAGTTATCCAAGACACAATAACAATCTTACCGAAATAGATACTTCGATCTGGTCACAACTTTTATTGTTGTGCGAATCAATAAATCCGACATTGAAAGCGGATGTTTTGGTACGGGTCACTTCGTTCTTGAGCGTGCACGCATTTGTGTACTTAAGCAACTGTTTATCTGTGTCGGAAGCTTCATTGTCACATTCATGGCATTGTTTTATTTTATCTTGTATATCTCTTGCCAAAATGGCCGTTGACTGAGCAGCAGTTTTTGCCTGTAATACAAAAATGACAAAAATGTAACCATTGCAGATCGCCCAATAACTAATTTCATAGTGATGTCTTAAATATACTATTTCGTTGTGATTCGTAATCAAAACGCTAAAACAAGTGAAGATTCAATCGAAAATCAAGCTATCAGGTTTAAATAGTTAGTATACATTAATTTAAACTTGAACTATTCAAAAACAAAATTTCTAGAAGAAAAAAGTTTTGTCAGTTGATTCAAAGGAATTGCTGACTTAATTCGCATGTCTTAAACACGTCGTTTGTTCTGCTGTTGATGCTGCTGTTTTGCTTCTGAATTCAAATTCGTATACAGCATGAAATATAAAGGAAAAAAAACAACATCTCAAGCATCATATTAATGCAGAAATAAATATAAAACCAAACTTTTATATTATATATTACATTTTCTTTCGCTTCATCTATGAACACATAAAGTTGTCGATGCATTTTCAAGTAGAGGATTGCCCTTTCTTGTGGGGATATGGTTGCTGTATAGATATTAAAGTCGTGTCCAACAACAGATAGCATGTCATCAATCTGCGATAGAAGAAGTCAAATAATTCTCTTCTCACATTTTTATCAAAATGCAGTACGTCTTAAGCGAGGCGATTGCTGATCTGAGGCACATTTGACCGAGATAGTAGCTAATTGGAGACAACATTGAGTGTAGCTGGTGCTGATCGATGCTAATATCATATCAAAATGATAACTAATAGGAGGTTTAATGACAGACGCGAACACCGAATTATGAAAATATTCAATTACATGAATTAAGCACTTAACATTTAAATGACTCAATATACAGATTGCTGTTTGAATCATTGTATTTTTTGTTTGATTGGGTTTTACGTCACACCGACACCGATTCAAACGTGTCAAACAAAATGTGAAACCATAAACAAAAAGTTAGAGGTAAAAAGTTTTGTTGTTTATTATTTTTTCTTTACGAGAGGACAATTGCTTTTAAAGTGTTAGTTGTTTGCAAACTAAACTGAAATATACAATTTTATTTTATCATTTAGATTTCCCTTACTGAAAAATACAATTTTATTTTGTAATTTTGATTTCCCTTCTTTCTACAACCAAAGTGAATGAAAAAAAACAACATAATACTAAGAAACATTATAGATTGAAAAATATAATAGCTTTTGCTAATCTAATTATGATTTGCAATAATAACTGTTGGGTTATTTTAGACATCGACTGACAATGATAGTAATGATAATAAACATGCTATAATAATAGATCTAAACGCGTCATTACGATATTATACAATCATGATAAGGTACCTGACGCATCGCACTAATAATATCATCTGTTGATCGGTATTGGTGAAGTGAACTGTATACGCTAGCATCAGACACTGTTATAGACATTCTAAATGTCTCTGAAAAAATCAATTTAAAAGCCGCTGAAAGAATTATTTCTACGTTTTAAAACAAAATTTGCAAATTTATCTGAAGCAATTATTTGAAAGGTATCTAAAACAATAATTGGAAACGTTTTTGAAACAATGTTTTTTAAATGTTTCTGATTTTGATCTGAATGATAATTTCAATTGTCTCTTCTAAATCAAAACTTTTTAATGTCTTTTTCACAATGGCTTGAATTTCTCTGAAACAAAATTCATTTGAAAATGTCACTGACATATTAAATATTTCTAATGCATCTTAAAAGCTTATTAAAAAATGACACTCATCTGAGACAATGATCTCAAATGTCTTTCGTTTCTGTATCACTGCTATCGAATGAAACAATGTATCTTAATGTCATTGACGTAATAAAATCAGGAGTAAATTAAGAGCGTTTCAATCGATTAGTAAATTAATCGAATTGAAGATCAAACATTGCTGCTAGTATGAACAAAAAAAATCTTGGTACGCCTAAGTTTTTTTTATGAATCTATCAGTTTTCTTTTACAGGCTATTTATGATGCATCGCTCAAAAAATTTCCTGGGACTTCGGAGAGGACTGTCAGTAGCAACTCAGCACTGAGACACTTAATTTCAGTCTTGGAGGAAAAGGTGCAAGAAAACTAGCCAAATCAAGATAACCAAAGAATAAAGTGCCAGTTGATAACAGCCGTAAAAGATATATTTTCTAAAACGTCACTCTCTTCAGCAACCATTCAAGATAATATGAACATGACATCCACTGTTATGTAGATTTAAATGTAAAATATTTATATCATACAGTCAACATGAAATATGAGTATGTGCTTCACTCGACAATTTAGTATCTAAATAAAATATGAATTACCGGTATATGACTTAACTATTCAAACTCAAAGTAAAAATAAGCTTTGAACAAGAGAACAATGATGACCTACACAAATATTATGTCGGCATAGTCGAGATCTAAAAACACCTTAAGGTTATTTATGTAGATTTCCATAAATATATGTGGCATTGTTGAAAAGAAGAAATTGTTAAAAGCTTAAATTTATTTTTAGATATGCAGGTCATCCTGTTTAGAAAACCGGAAATACTTAGCAACTGTAGTAAACGACAACATAGTGTTCATTCCTTAAGAGTTTTATCAAAACCTATAAGCAGGTAAGCAAATGTTATTTCAAGTTGTTTTTAATATATTCTAGCTCTAGCTACCAGACAGAACATATTTGAGCATGTTATTTTGTAAACGACTGCCAAATGATTATTGTTGTACAGTTTCATAACAATCTTCTAAGTGATTGAACAGGAGATGTCGTTTGAAGTTTTTCCATTTCAAACTCGGTTGACCATTTTGTTCAGGAAACCATTGCCAAATTCATTACTTTTAAATAAACAGTTGAAAATGAACATATAAGGCTCATTTCTGTCGCGATCCATCAATATTTTTCGAGTAAATTAGAAGAAGCTGTCATTTAAAGTTTTTTCTAAATCTGATGGTCACTTCGTTCAGTTCAACCGACCAAAGCCATTCTGGCAATGTTGTAAAGGGCTTCCAAGTGATCATCGCTCAAATTTCACACAAAATCTACCAAATGACTAAGGAAAAAATATTGGTTCAATGTGTTCTTATTTCAAGCTCTGTCGACCATCTTGTCCAGTGGACAAAACACCATTTGAGAAATATGTATAACCACCTGGGCAGAAATTGTTATCCATATTCTTCGCTTAAATCATCATTAAAAAGTTTGATGACATTAAATAGCATTGATCGGCTTTACTTTTTCTTTTTAATTAAAAAAGTTGAATAGCAAAATTAAATTGAAGTAGCTCTCGGAAAGCCGTATAAAGTATATAGCCGTGATGGTAAAGTGTTAGATAGTCAAACAGTATAATTTAACAAAATGACGGAAATGGCAACACGATTCAAAGCATAAATTGTCTAGATTATGGTTCCTGCTCTTTCATTGTTCATGTCAATCGAACCCCAATCCATCGCATTATTGTCCGTTACACACAATTTTTAAATGAAAAAATGAAATTAATGAATTTGATTTTGTGATAATATTTTTTCTTGCAACATTATACCTTTCCTTCCGTTACCAAATAAGTATGATGTTAAGTATATCAAAACAAAATCAAACCGTGTTCAATGAAGGTTAATTGTATCAAAATATAGATATGTAACATGAGCTTACGCTCTGTGACTTCTTGAAATTCATCCAAATTACCAATGTTACTCAATCCAGTGCTTTCTAAAAGATGCACTAATTGACTCTGAAATAAAAGAATTAATAAAAATACATATGTAGTACATATGTAACCTATTTTATCATGTTTGAATTGCTCTGCCCTCGACAATACTAACAAATGGTATATCCGATGACTTCACCTTTAAACAAATTTTGAAATAAATATTCTAATTGAATCATTGCTTTCATGTGTATATTAATTATTTGACATATAATTGGTGATTGATTGAAACTACTCGAAATATTAAATGCGTTCTTTAGGACTAAATATTGCAAAGAACGCTTGCCAAATACATCTGCTGAAATGCTTATTTTACCTTGGAGGATTATTTTATTAGTTTAATCATAATAAATAAGTTATTTATTGCACATATTATATAATCAGAGTAAATAATACCATCTTTTAACAACCATACTGATATTATAATACACGAAATCCATTTTACGTAAGCACTATGTGCTTATAATAGTCAATCTCTATAATTGGTTGATTACAACTACAGTAATACATGGCTGGTAGATGTAAATGTAATGAGCATATTAAAAAAAAGAACTACCTCTATTGACTGACTGTATATCAAAATACTTTGAACCTTAAATCTAGGTTTTTCGTTAAGGCACTTAACATATTAGTTATAGATAAGTAATTTAGCATAAAATAACAGTTGTACAGAAGAAAAATACTAAAGGTAAGAAAAAGTAAGATGAAACCCATGCTCAAGGTTTTGGAAAAAAATATTTTTGGAGCACATAGGCAGGAATAAACTACAAGAGTTTGTATAGTATGTACCAATGTAGATTTAATTATGCGATATTTAATCATCAGGCGAATTTCTCACTATACATTAGGCAAGAAAAAGGTCTTCGTAATAGAAGCATCCCGAACACACAAGTATAATATATCATGTATTACATATATCAATATGATAGAATATTTTCATATATAGTTTCCTATATAAATCTTTAAACGTTATCATTAACGTTTACCAACATTACCACTTTTAATTTTAAATACAAAAATATCGTACCGTTGTGCTTTTATCAAGAAATTCTGCTCTGGATGCTAGATTTGAAAATGCGTTTGTTGCAACACAAAATAATATTTTCTCTTCTATGCCTTCTGGGTGTTCCGTATAAACCGAAGAAATATTTGTCACGATGTCTGTCATGTTTTTGAGGAACTGTTAAATGAATATAATATAACTTAGATGAGGCATAAAAGATTACAATAAAGGGATACTCAAACGATCAATATATTCAATAGCATTTGACTTATTTCTTCCATATATATAAAATATATTTTGCTTATGGAGATCTTGTCTTATAATAAAGCCGAAAGCGTTTGTATGTTCGCCCGATGGCATTTTATTACTGTATTGTATTCATTAGATTGTTGTGAATTTTTTATGTTATTATGTTTAATACCATGATGGTTTAATTACAGGTACTTGATCGGGTGGTAAATCAGCATTGAATAACTTTTATAATAATAAAGGAAGAGTATTAAAATTAAGAACATACAACTTGTGTTCTTTATAGACCTTTTTACGACGCGGTCCGTTGCTATAGAAAAATTGACCAGAAGTAGTATTTCCTCGCGTATGCGCAATCTGCGTAGGGTGAAACGAGCATCGCCCTTCATAGAAATGTAGTAGAAATTCATAGACAATTCCGGGTTAGTTTATGGTAAAAAATAGAAAGTCATATAAAATAGCTTTTAATATAAACACAAAAGATACCTTTATAGCTTTGTGGGCAAGATTGCCATAAAAAGGCATGGAAAAGACGATTGTTTAAGAATTCCCCCTTACGATCACCGACCTGACATTGAGATAATTGTTGTAAAAAATGTGGAAATATATATATTAGGAAATAAAGAAGTCAATTTAATTGTTGTTTAAATCGTCCATATAAAAGCTAAAGAAATTTAAAACATATAAAATCGAGGTTAATCATTATTCTGAAAATAAGTCGGAACACGTGAATGCATTTTAGTTTTCAGTTTACCTAATGTTATACTTTATCCGACTTGACTGTGATGCCAAACAGATTTTTTTTGAGTCACATTAATACATTTAAATAATTTTTCAAACTGTTGAACAGTTAAGATGGGTGGTAAAATAACACACGTTTTATCGGTCCCTCGTAACACAGAAGAGGTCCGACACACTTGGGTGTGTTCATATATAGTGTAACACAAAAGTCTGTATTTAGTGTTTTGTGTAAGACTATAGATGGAAATATATCGCAAACAAGTTTATTCAACGAACTGTATTGGTCAATAGCTGGGTATCATCATGGAAACGTATGCTTACGGGCAAAGTGTTTGTGGACACACTCGTGTAAATGAACTTAATTTTGGGAAAGGTAATTATTGATAAAACACAACCTCTTGCATGAATTATTTGAAGTTGTATTTATAATTATCATCATGGTATAACATTGTGATAAGCAAAGAAATGAAAAGATTCAAGTAATATTTGTTTAAATTGTGAACTGTTTTTCACAGACTGTCACTGATAGGGTAATGTTAGAGTTAAACCCCTTGTCTCTATATAAAATATCTCTATATATTTTTCTCAAATTGCTTGTGTAAGTTTATTACACTATATATGAACACACCCAAGTGTGTCGGACCTCTTTGCGTAACACATGAAAATGCACGTCAAGTACACTATTTGTCACTTCACAAAATTAATAAACTTCACAAAATTGAAAAAAAAGCATTGATGAGATTGGTATAATTAAAATGTAACTTAAATTACGATTTTCATAATTTTAAGTGAATAACTATGTCATGGTACTATCACGTCTCGGTTGAATGATATTGTATACTAGCTTGCAAAGAGCAACCGGTCACGTGTCAATCCGCCTTGCCAATCCACTTTCAAAGGAATACCAATTGTGTATGATTATGTAATACATGGGTAATAAAATTTATCTTTAACACTCTGCTGTTTCAGTTTATATTACTGATGAAAAAGTCATTTAATGGTACCTTGAACACTTGAACAGAGGGTTTTAGGTAATTGAATTATTAGTTCCGCTAATTTTGTATATCTGTTAAATATATCAATTCACTTTTTAAGTAATAACCGCTTTAACTCATCCCAAAATTTCTGTTTTCTGGGTGTCATAACTTATAATTACGTCTTTGAAAGCATTCAACTTCGCTTAATGTAGTCTATCTTTATTGCGCTTTTGCCCTACGAAGAATGTGCATGCGCAAAATGCAACATCGGTTACTTTTGTATGCTCAGGTTGAAAAATCGTACTGTAAAAAGGTGTATAGTGCAACAGAAAGTGAAATATGTATTTACCGGTATGTATATGTCAGCGATGCAAATTATTGTTATAGTCAAGCAGATCGTTGATGAACATCGTGAATATTTAATTAGTTCTTCAATTTGGTGCTTAAAACCATAATACATTTCAAAGTTTTATTTTTAGAATTATGGAAAGTAGATATATATTTACCTCTCGCAATGTTACGGTTGTAGGATTTATCGTTTTGTTCAGGGCCTCATTGAGCATGCCTTTTAAATTCGTAATATTACTGTTCCCATGCTTCGACAAGTCTAGAATAACGCCATTCCCTTTGTCATTTAGAACTTGTGGAAAAATAGGCTCGTTTTCATTTAACTGAAAACAGACCCATAAAATAATCATGTAAAATGCAAAAAATAGTCTACATGACTGTGTATATTTGGAGAATGATTTAGGCTACAGAAATTCATTCCTTTAAATGTATATATATTTGTCAACAACCTAAACACATGTTTCTATCGGCTGTAGAACAGTATTAATTATAGACAAATACTTGTTGACAAAATAATGTGTCATATGAATTTGAGGTTATAAAATGTGTTGATTGTATACTGATCGATAAAAATAATGTAATGAATTTAATAAATGATCTGTCCCTGCAATAACATTAGCAACATATGCGTAAATAGAATTATTAAAAATATTTTCGTTGTAAACATCATGAATAATAAATTTTGAACATACCAAATGATATGTAGTAATTTATTCTGGTTACTTATTTAAAATGTCAATTAAACATTATATCTGTACAAACATAGAAGCATATGGACAGTTTTAATAAAATTCATTTCAAATGGCTCAGTTACATATAATATGCATGCGCAGATCCAGAGGAAAAAGAAGTATTGGAGTCCTATACAACTCCCTAGAGCTCCCTTGGATTTGTATTTTATGTAAAAGCCCTATGAACTTTGGATATCAACGTTTGATCTTTTGCAAAAATCACTTAAAACCTAATTAAAATCTTTAACTCAAGACCCCCGCTGAAAAATTAGTTTTACTACAAATCCCCTCTGGAATAGAAATTACCCTTAATCGAAATTTTGCAACCGTTTTTAGGTAAAAATCCTTGAACCACGCCTGATATACACTACCGTCGAAAACATTTCATGGGTATGTGATTATATTATGTTATCGATTCGATTATATATATATGCAAACCTTCAACCTAAATATATTCCATTTTTATTAGCCTTACCTCTATGAAGTATATATTGCTGCACACGGCAGATATGTAATACATTGTGATATATGGTAAATCTAAAACGGACACCACAAAGTCCAAAACAACAGAATATTTGCCATGGATATAGTCACTAACAACTTGAGCTCCTGATTCCGTTGTATCGAGTTCTTTGAAATTGAAAACGGGTCTTGACTGAAAAGAAAATCTTGATAGTAATAGATATGATACCTTACATATTAAAAGAGGTCATGCGTAAAACACTTTTTAGTAGATTATAATTGCCATACAAATGCACCTACTGAATGAGCACGTGTGAACATAGTCTTTAAATATTCCTTTACCGTAATCAGGATTTTATTTAACATACTGACCATACAGAGTTTGCAGCCAATTTGCTTTAAGGATGGCTTGCTGTGATTTCGAAAAAAACTATTTTCCTATAACATGTATTAGCTTTTTACTTTCAGCACGATACGTAAACCTATGCCACTCACGATATAATGTATTTGCTTGCAAAATAAGTATTCATAATTTTATTTATGATACACAATGCAACTGACTTATTGATTCTTTTTTATGTTGGAGCAATTTTGGAGCAAAAATTGAAATTCCCAGGCAATAGTCTTTATTTTTTTAAAAATAAGCTCGCTCTGGAAGAAATATGGTCAAGATATTATTTACTTTTAAGATAGAACATAACCGCCATCTGTTGACGGCGTTCATTGTCAGAACATATATATGTGAGTTCATCATTGTAATAGAACTTCAAATTTTCAAACTTGAGCCTTTTAATCATCTAAATACATATTTTGCTAAAGGGCAATTTTTTAGATAAACGGTTTCTGTAACTGATTGCAGGAAGTTTCAATCTTGACCATCTTTTTAACTTACCACAATGTTTGAAATGGACACTTCATTGAAGTTGTTGTACATATCTGCTATACGGATTCTGATTGACGTTTCGTAATTTTGTTCCTGATTTCCTAGTTTCAGCAAAATGTATAACTCCCGTTCATCTGTAATTACAATTTTGAACACAAAGCATTTTAAATTTGAAAAAACAGTCAAATATAGCTTATTGATCCATCAAAACAAAAACGCACTTCTAAATAGTCGACTCAGACTGGAATTTGCAGTCGGTGTGGTGTTTGCTAGGCCGCCATTCATCCGGACGCCACAATTTTAGTTTAACAAACTACGGTATTATGTAGTTATCATATTTTTTAAAACAAACATTTGCCAAATGTTTATTCATTACTAGATTTCATTATATGATCTAAATATAGCTGTTATCCCATTGGTCCAAACAGTAGTCAACAAAACCGTTAAAAGAATAATTTTCACTGGGTGAAGTATCATATTTACTGGCTAAATTGGATTTTCCAATCCGAAAAGTAAATTGAGACTCATATTCAATGATCTGTAATTACTCATTCTTATTAAAAAATGATTGTTGCGTTTTTTTCTTTATAGCATATGTCTCTATCAAAATATCATTACTTTATTATTATAGTTAAAGGTTATACCGCAATGATGAGTATAAACTTGAATTACTTTTGTATGCTCAGCGTTTGCGTAGTTGTTGCACGCCTGACACGTGCGTATTTTTTCCCACGCTTCAACGAAACTGGCGAAAGTTGTACATGTATAAGGTTTAATTTTCTGTGATTTTTTAAATTCTTATAGCATATTCATATAAAAAACAATTATTGACTAGTGTGCTATTGAATATGATGTGATATTCACCGGCAGAAAGTCATATTGACCTCATGCGATATGTCATCTGCCTGTGAATATCACATCATAATCAATGGCACACTAGTCAATCATTGTATATTATCTAACATTGTATATATAGACTACGTGTAAATCTACTACAATGATATAATATTTTGAAGAATATTTGCTTAAGATATGGATCATAGCTTGTTACATATAATTATCACCAAGAGGGCATGCGTTAAGGTTAAAAGAACTTTAAATGGTTGTCGCGTTAAATGTTTGCATCCATCACATGAGCGCTAATGTACACGTTCAGGTTATAAACATGAAAGTGACATCAAATCGTCAAGATATGGATCATAGCTTGTTACATATAATTATCACCAAGAGGGCATGCGTTAAGGTTAAAAGAACTTTAAATGGTTGTCGCGTTAAATGTTTGCATCCATCACATGAGCGCTAATGTACACGTTCAGGTTATAAACATGAAAGTGACATCAAATCGTCAAACAAAGTTTCTTAAGATTTTACTGGTACTCCAAACGAAGGGTCATGAAGCAGAATAGGGACATAAGACCATTTATCTCTAGATCTATTCCTTTATTACGGTATGGTAGAGCGTTTTCTAAAGGACTAAGTTAAATAAGTCTAATTCAGAGCTGGGGGATTTGCAGTCTGACACATAATAAAAACTTTAATTTATAAAGACAACCAAATTATATAACAATATGACAATGTTTACCTCGTTGCGTGATTGGTTCCTCTTTAACATAAGCACCATCTGTTACCTGTAGGACAGTATAAGTAAGTGAAGGGGTTGTATTTATGGTGTTGTTTGTTGTCAACCTTCTACTTCGAGTGCTCCATGACTGACATCGTATTTGTACCAAGTCGAATGCAGACTCAACTACCCAAACATTAAAAGTATATTTCAGGATATTCGTTTTAACACTTCTTTTTGCTTTTATCACGTTAAGACAATTTTATTGAAAGTCAACATAAATCTATTTAAATGAAGACGCGTAATTAAACCAAGCATGCAGCTTTTCAATTTTGCCGTTTTCAGCGTTCGTTAGGGATTTTGTTTTTCTCTTACTTATAGTTTTTCAAAATTTACAGAAATGATTTTGTTACAAAAGATTTTAAAACTGAAAGCTTAAACTGCCAATTTGTCACAAGGAAGCCTTTGCGTGGGAACATATTCCTTTGGGATGTAAAATTGTATTTTCTAATCTGAGATAGAATTGTGTGAACAAACAGCAATGTCAAAGGGATTACAATCAGTTAAAATGCATTTTGAGCTATGCCATTTTTACTACATCATGAAGTTTAAGGCGGATATTATTATTTTAAGTTACACTAACATAACTTAAAAGAAAGTTGAAATTTAAGGAAGAAGTCAACATTTCCTGAATGAGATGGTTCCTGTATTGTTCAAGTTGAAACGTTTGAGGTACGCTCCGGATAGAAAATAAAAACGAAAATATAAAGGGTAACAACAAACAGTGTAAGAATAACACTTAACATTGCACTTTTCCTTCATAACTTTGAACTTTCATTCTATATCTCCTTTAATCTTCGCGCAATGCTACAGACTAAAAAATGATGACAAATTACAAAATGGGTGATAACTCAAAACAATAAGCAAAATAATGTTGCGGCGACTCACTTGCACTTCAGATTTTCTCTAAAGAATTTATCCGCCCGTGACGATTCTTGTTGATAAATATTTGATATGCCTTTTGGCTTTGTCTTGAAAAATAAATAAGATAAATAACAAACAGGAGGAGATATTTTTATGATTGTCAGTTCATTCATTTGCAAGTTGTCTTTAATTACATTTTTCTGTTTGGTTAATATTCTAGTCAGCAAATAAACTTAACCAAAATCTTACCATCGGCTTTATCAATTTCGCACGTGCCTCCGTGGGGAACATAATCAAAGGTTCTTTTTACAGAAGCAGTACTCTTCAATTTTCCATCAGATGTAGTTACCCTGACTTCGAAAATGTAAGTATTACCCTCTTCTATTTTATCTTTTTGTATACTCATGGATGGTTTGTCTACAACAAAAAGGGAGAAAACTATTATCTGGACTAATCTCTATTCGATTACACGATGCTTCTGTGACTACCATGATAAAACAGAATTCCTCTAATCTGTATACGGACACATGCTGATTGATGAAGCTATAAATGTGATAATGCATTACCTTTAGAATTTATGATGCAACAATGAGTAAACTGAATATTAATTAATGCAAGTTCTTAATATTATAAAAACAATACTTACGTTTTGCCGAAAAAATGATATATTTGTGAACCAGTCAGGACCTTCCTTACTTAATAAATTATCAATAAAATTTTCTAATAAAATCATGGGTTGATATGCACAATTCATTAATGTAAATATATCTGGATAACATATTTCTATAGCTTGTATATTTCTTTACATCTAATTATTATGCGAGTGTAAACAACACAAATGTTTGCAACGGTTTTGAAAACTTTCTTAACAAGAAGTTTGAGATTTTTACCTATTTTGTCAATCGCTTCTTTGAGTCGAACAAATCCGTTATTTCTCCGGGCATAAACATTCCATTGATATTTGAGGAATTTTGTATTAAAGGTCCTCTCAATATATGTGTCCAGTACCAGGCGGTCAAAATTAATTAAACCTCCATGCGAAACATTGCAATTGTATATACAGCTAAAAAAAGAAACAAATTATACAACTATAACAAACTTTTTAGTAACTTTTAAACGTTTATAATCATACAATTGAAGGTCACAAGTATAAATGCTAAATCATCAAATTTTGGTCACCAATGATCATCGTAAAGAATTATATAATGTGTATAGAGTCAACATCTGTATAGGGCGCGATAAAATAAAAATCATGCAGGAAATGTCCAAAATCAGTTTCATCACTTATTAAATGTACAAGGAAACGAGTAGAAAATTATTACAGGGTAAGTAAATGGATCTACATATTTTATTATCAATCCAATTCAATGACATAATCAGTGCATATAGCTGCTTAGACATTATATTTAATTTTTATTTCAATAAGCGCAAACAATTTCGTTTTTAAATACCATTTGCGAGAACGACTACCATATGAAAGGATGAAAGGGAAGACAATTAACACATTATTAATACATGAACATGTATCAATTAACTACTGAATGAGAACAATCTGTAAAAGTTTATTTCCTTCATTTTCGGCATATGTGATATACCGGAGACATTTGCCAAATTGCTAGTTTCGTGTTATACTGACAAGAAGCAGAGAAAATATTTTGGTCACTTTTGATTGATATTTGTCCAGTCTGTGCTTTATTAACAAAAACTGTTTTACCAATTTCATTATAGTTTGACACATGTCAAGGTTATTTTTGAACAATTACTGCGTTATTTTAACATTCCTGTGTACCGACTCACGAGGCTTAGTCTCGTCGGTAACACCATCTATTTGTCACAGTGAGAACAGAAACCTACACGTTACTGCTACTTATAGGACTCTCAATGTACAATGTTATAATGATAATTGGAAAGATAAAGGTGGAACAGAAGGTATCATTTTTTCTTCAGAAATTAAAATGTTTTTTCTATTATAAAAGCAACCCGTTTGTTTAATATAGGGATGTTAGTTGCTTGTATGATATTCAAATCAACAAAGAAAGCTTCTCGAACAACTAACATGTCAAAGTTATGTTTCAAAACATTTACATACCTTATTGTTACAGGTAGTGTATTTTCAACAAATTTTAAAACTTGAAATGCTGTTGAAAGTCGGCTCCCTTTTGACATCGTAAATACAGCAACACCATAGGAATTGACTGGAAAATAACTCGTTATTACCTTAAGAACATTCACATTTCCAATTTGAATTTCGTATCTTTTACCTACACCCGATATTTGGTTGTTTATAAGACTATAAACTGCATCATCAGATGTTTCTGCCGAAATAAGTTCAAAAGTCCAACTTGCAACTAACTTTGAAAAATCAGTAAATTGCAGATCACCAACAGTATCACGTGATTGAGAAGCATTCACATAAAGAATGTCGCCGCGCGGGACGTATACAAAGTCACCACCCGAAATAAAGGTATACAAGTCTGGAAAAGTAACCTCAAGCACAATAAAATCATTGAACCATAAACCGTTTAACACCACTTCCAGAATTACAACATAGATGCCTGGTCTTAGTGTGCCACCAGGAAGTACTAAATTTTTCGATTTTGGTTGAATGAAGTCCGTAAATGGCATTAGTTTATTCCCCAAGACTTGAACAAACCGCCAATGATACACGGCACCTACACATGTTCCCTTAATATCTTTAAAGCTATTAATCTGAAATGACAAAAATAATACTTTTTATAGTCATAGGATTGGTAAAGACGTTTAATATTTTATTTACCGTTAGAACTACAAAGGTTGGGTATCAAGTGGTATTAACACAAAACAGTCAGTTAATATCTGAAACGAAATATCTGAGCGAAAAAATATATCAGATACAAACTCATTCAAGAGATAATACTATTTCAATTATTAAGCATTGGCAATAAAAAACAGAAAGTAATATACTTGAATTGCTCTGTCAGCTAAGACACGTTTTGGTTTTGTCAAATCGTTGTGCAAATCATCTATGAAGTTATTTGTGTCCATGCAGCATTTTGTCGCCTCCGGACAAAGAGTTATTCTTCCGTTTGCATCTGTACATTCGGTCTGAATAGCGTATATGCCATACTTCAAACAAAACAAAGGGTGATGTCAAGAAAAGAGTAAAAGTTATACATATAAAATATGAAAATAAATGATCAGGACTGAACCGGAAAACATAACATACACGTCGTGTTTTTCTTTCATAGATCTTAAGAGCTTGATAGTGTACTTGCATCATAAAACACATCACTTACATAGTGTATTTGTGCTGCCAATATTCAGACCAAGATTTTCATTTAGGACTTGTACAATAAGTACATCATATACGACATACAATGCATGATTGTATGTTAAATGAAAGCGTACGGAGATAACTTTGGTATTATATACAAATCTGTTTTGTTTGTTTTACGAGTTATTTACCTGAGGTTTACGGTCAAATTTTAATTCATTATTAACTAGAACAGTGTCCAAAGGACACGGGTGGCTCCACCGACAACATATATATAGTATCCCCGTACTGCCTCTTTCCGATCAGCTTACAGATTTTTCAACAATAACTGACAGTGAAATTATATATAAAAAAAATTATCTTTCAATTCTGCAAATATTATCATTTCAGCTAATAAATGCACCAACTTTTTAAAATTTTACTTGAATTATTACTATGAATCGAGGACAAATCATTACTGACCCATTTTCCTGTTCTTCAAAATTTCACAACCACTTTTCAATCAGTTAACAAAATATAAACTGTACCACATAAAAAATGTCATACAATGTTAAAATATAATTAGTTCTGTATTTTGGAGAAATTTTGACAAACTCAACTTCAGATAAATGGTAATAAACAATTTTAACCTAATTATAATGCCGTTTTTCAATCTAGATATTTATTTGCAGTGGTAAAGCTGTCACAATTGGGGTATGGATGTACATTTCAATTTGCATAACAGAAAAAGCATGTTCTTGTGAAATTTTTAGGATCTTAGGATCTATATGACCCCATTCTAGTGACTGCTTACTGAAAAGTTATCACAGACAATGTTTTTCCTTGGTTAAGTGACTGTTACTTTACTGATGTATTACCTTCAAATTAAGAACTGTATGGTAAAATATGTACATATTAAAATTACAGCTTTTGAAGTGCAGTATACATTATGACTTCATGATATTGAAACAGTTGTCCAACTTAATATCCATTTCTGCAGACTGACAAAAAACTGAGTCTGTATATCAATTATTTTTAGAAAATTATTGCGATTTGTAACTGTGTAAATAAAGGATTAGTGGAAAACACACGTTTTACATATTTTGAACTAAAATGCTAGCATTTTCTTTTTTATCGCCTAAATTGACATTGCTGCTAATAAATTTAGTCAAGGGGAATACAAGATGTGCTTACAGTTTGGTTACATGACAAATAAGGTCAAAAATAAAAAAATTCTAGGGGTGATTGAAAAGTGGTTGTGATTGAAAACTGGCAGTGTGTGGATATATTCTGAAACAATTAACAAAGGGCCATAATTCTGTTAAATTTGGTCGCAGCAAAAATTCCTCCCTTTTCTGCCATCTACACAGTAAGGTTGTTTATCCCTAGAAGTTTAAGCAAAATCTACCATCCGGTTTAAGAGGAGTTGCGTTCACAAATTTTCTATATGGTATATAGTGAAAAAAATCAACAAAGGGTCACAATTCTGTTAAATTTGGTCGCAGCAAAAATTCCTTCCTTTACTACCATCTACACATTAAGGTTGCTCATCCCTGGATGTTTAAGCACAATCTGTCATCCGGTTTAAGAGGAGTTGCGTTCACAAAATTTCTATATGGTATATAGTGAAAAATCAACAAAGGGCCATAATTCTGTTAAATTTGGTCGCAGCAAAAATTCCTTCCTTTACTACCATCTACACATTAAGGTTGTTCATCCCTGGAAGTTTAAGCAAAATCTGTCATCCGGTATAAGAGGAGTTGCGTTCACAAAATTTCTACATAGTATATAGTGAAAAAATCAACAAAGGGCCATAATTCTGTTAAATTTGGTCGCAGCAAAAATTCCTTCCTTTACTTCCATCTACACATTAAGGTTGTTCATCTCTGGAAGTTTAAGCAAAATCTTCCATCCGGTTTAAGTGGAGTTGCGTTCACAAGATTTCGGGACGTATGGGCGGACGGACGGACGGACGGACAAGTGCAACGCTATATGCCCCCACTTTGTGGGTACATAAAAAAGTCACTTTAATAGAAGGTGATCGAATTAAAACGTTTTCAAGGGAATAAAATATGTATAGAGATAAATTTTGATTAAGGAACTGACAGTGTTGAAGGGTATTATCATGATTTTAGGAAAAGTTTATGCCTGTAGAGGTCGGTGTTTGAAGATTTACTTACATTTGAGAAAGTGTGGTTCACTTTTACAGCTAAATACGGATTGTCTAAGTTGGTCTTGCTTCCATCACCCCAGAGAATTGAACAGGTTAAAAAATGTGACTGTGAACAATCAGTTTCCACCAGATGCAAGGTCACAGATACACCTCTTGGTGTGTCAAGACTTTCAATATCCACAACATACTTTGAACAATTGTATCCTTAAAATTAAAAATAAATTTACATTATACTATACTGTATAAACAGTGTAAAATAAAAATAACTATATTTATACAGTTATATATCAACCAGGTGTATTCCGTATATTCTATTTAAATATTAAATTTATAATTCTGAAAAATAATTTTTTTTTGATACAAAAATTTAAAATAATTTGTCCATTTGCTATGCAGCCGCGTGTATAATAAAATAAAGTACGAAAGTGGATGCAAATCGAAGATTCAAACTTGCATAAAATAAAAATGTCACCGAGATGAAGTCATTACACGAGAGTTACATAAATTATTTTTCAAAGAAACAAAATTCATTTAACTGTTTCCTTTGCATGATATATAAATGAGATTGCAAAAATTTACTTACTTGATTTGATAATAGAAAACGATGTTAAATCAAAGTCATCTGTCCCGAGAATAACATGACTTCCAACGTAATTGCTATCATCACTTTCATTCATCATTACACCTTAAACGAAACAAAATTATTCTTTGAAAAAAATAATAAAAGAGAGGCCTTATTGTCAAAGCTAATTATAATAATATGAAATATTCATAAGTAATAATGTTGAGATTTTTTTGGAAGGTTACTGAAACATATTTTTATAGGTGAATTTCAAATTTTACCTTTATCTACCTGCCGATGAAAGGTTGCGGCAACACATGTAATTTGACCAATTTGATCACAAGGTTAGCAACCAAGTTTTATCAATGTCAAACCCGGTAACGCCGGTTTGCAGTTAGAATTTTTTAATGTCTGCAATATTTGTCAATGTAAAACATGTAATACAACTGTTTGAAAATTATTTGACTGAACAATAATGCCCGTTTCTCTTACAGAATTTGATTTTCCCCTCTTTGACTTAATTCAAGATATAATTCATGATCAAACATTGGAGCTAGTGTGTGGTTCAGATATATGGATCCTACTGATGACGAACTGATGACGTATGCTCGCAACCATATTAGAATGTTTAATATGATTATTATCTTTCCATGTAACAAAATGGTCTGAATATAGGTTAAAAACGCTGATGTGACACGGCAAAAGGCGATCTCGGTATTTAATAAATAGCATGAAATTATCCGAACTTTACCGGTTCATTAGTTCGTTAAAATTCGGCGCCGGGTTATAAAAGTTGTTAACTTCCAATCACTGGTTCTTCATTGTTATGGGTTCAAATTCTACTTTTGACTTCAGAGTCTTTCATGTCAGGAAGCTATTTAGCTAACTTGTAGATCGTCGGTTCCTTAGCCATGACATTTATTTCGTTTAACATAATGAAACTCTAGGTATTAATTCATTGCAAAATAGAGTCCGTGACTTGGATTATATTATGAAGCGCTAATCCGGATTTCAATTTCATCTACAGTTGAATATCAGGCTCAAAAGAGGTAAAAATAGTTACTGAAAGATTTAATTAATATGATAACTGATGTGATTCTCCATATGAATACCAAAAAGTCATAGCTGTTCGGAACATTTCAATTTTCATCTCGATTTTACAATTGTTTTCATCATATATATTAGACTTAAAAAACACTAAAATACTCTTGACGAATACCGTTGTTTGAAAGTTTTAAAATTTCTTTTTCAGAACATCCATCAATCGAAGAGGCATTAATTATTTACTTCACACGATGAGAATAACTTTGCTACAATCTATAGCAATTGATGTTTATCAACGTTTAAATATTCATTTAGTTTAATCTATTTCATCATATTTTTTCATACATATTCCCACTGAGGTATCGATAACGAGATTCGGATTCGATCAATGCATTGCACATATTTTGCGACCTGATTTATAACATGAACACGTCAGTAACATGTTAACAAACACTGGTGGTCAACTTTGTTAGACCATCGACCTTCAACGTTCAACGAGGTCACTGGATTTCTTGCTGAAAGGGAATAACTCAATGTCTCTCAAATCAAGGTGGATTGGTCATATTCGAGACTATGCAATAATAAATGAGTGTTTGTTTGTAAGTTTGTCTGTCTGTATGTCTGTATTATGTTTAATTGTTCGTTAAAAAGTTATTAAATAATTTATCGGGTGGTATATTATAAATTGGCGTCCGTGGCTGAATGGTTAAGGTGATTGACTTCAAACAATTTGCCCATCACCACTTCGGGTTGGAGTCCCACCAGGGACTTTGGATTATTTCATGTAAGGAAGCTACCCTTCAAGCGTACGGAACATCGAAGTTTCTACACAGGTGAATGTTTGTGCCTAACATAATGCACCTGATGTCTTCCTCAACCAGTAAAGCTTGGAAGTCGCCATATGATCTATTCTGTGTTGGTTCGACGTAGAACAGAAACTATTGTTATATTATATTCACCTGTCCCAAAGACATCTCTTTTATCATAAGTGTAGTCTTCACTTCCATTTTTACTTGAAGCTTAAATGATAATAATCAGACCGTAATAGAATGCAACATAAAATATTACTTTATTGCTCAAATTGTTTCAACGTCTTTTACATAACTTTACTAGAATATTGAACACTTGCTATACAAATAAGACCAATAAAACTTCATATTAACAAGATAACAAAATCAATAAGTGTTTTTAAATAAAATAACAATTGTTACCTTCCACAGGAAGAACTATGAAGGGGCTTTCTCCTGAAGATATACGATTAAAGTATGGTAACGTATACATCATTGTTTTAAACGAATTTCCACAGTTAACGAGAATAAGCAACAACAATAACAGTAAGTACAACTGGCTGTTTTCGTAAATAAAACAATTGTAAAAGAATGTTTATAAACCGTTAAATAGAACAGCATCGCTAATAATTTAATTTATTGTTTAAAAATTACCGTTTTATATAAAAAAATTGAAATCCCATTACATAAACCGAAACAAAATCTTTTCTTGAAGGTTTACACGTCTTGTAAAATGCAATGCAATTCAGTTTCCTTTGTAATCTTACTTATCGTACAAATTTATTCTTTGCATATATATGACGTCATCAAAAATTATGACATTACCTAAACTACAGTTCTTGCCAGTCCAACCGGTCTTGCATACGCATGTGTAATCATTTACCTTATCAATACACTGAACAAAATTCTCGCACTGTCCAATACAATCGTTTATGTCTGGTAAATAAAATTAAATTAACATAAAACAATAAATAAGTAAATAAGATTCCTTTCGAGGGTTTAATTCTCTCCCTTAAATTCCACTAAAAGAATTGTTAAAGAGGCGATGAAAGACGGAGTGAACAACAGCAGAGATTAATGGGTGAGTTCAGAGTTTTGTCAGTGGTATAAATACCACAATACCATTGGTAGCATTGATTACCATGGTATCACTTGTTGACAATTTACTCTGAACGGATTTAAACATACTATTTCTGTCTTTTCCATCGATTTGAAATAATCATTGGAACCAAAGGCTAATTTGGTCATTCGTTTGGTTAAGTTTTTATTGTAATTTGTATTGTTATTAATAAACTTCGTCCAAAAATAAATTTGTTCATTTGCAAATTAGCACATTTTTCCTCTTTGTTAATAGTCAATATTTCTTAAGCCTGATATGATCAATTAAGTTTCATACAACCATTAGAAAATAACATAAGGATTTTAAAAGACTTATATAGTCATAAATAAGACTTGCCTTCACTACCATAGCACTACAACATTAACCTATCTGCAAAATAAGATAGGTTATTTATCTATAATCAATCGCTCGCCTGTGATTTACTGACAGCGTAACAGAATGAGCAAACAAAAAATGGGATATTTACTGTTATCACAAAAGTAACCTTCCCAGCCGTCTTTGCAAGCACATTTAAAGGACTTTTGTAAGTTGATACATTTTCCGCCATGTCTACATGGGCCACTGTCACAGTAACTTTTTTCTGCAAACAAAAATAACATAAAAAAGTTCCCATGAAAATTAAGATAGAATGATTAACATAACAAATTAAAGAAAAGAGCTTTCAAAACTACCTACATGTTTTCTATTTAGTAGAAATAAACTAAACAAAATGAGATTTTCAGAATAAAAAAAACTATTTTGTTGCTGGCATTTTCGGCCAACAAGTTCAAATGCTTTTCTTAAGTCTGACCAGAACCTAGACACATATTTTCCTCTAGCCACAGCTACAATAAAAATAAAAGAACACACAAAACGTATTCATCAATAGTACAACATTCACGAATTTGGAAAAAATGCAGCTAATAAAATCAAATTCCGAAATACATAATAATAATTTGTATACAAATCTCGAAAAAAAATATTCCCTTCTTTACACCCCTGTCACTTAAACTTGACTTACTTTTTAAATTTTTTCTCTTTAAATATTTTATACTCTATCGCCATCTGTCAGACACTAGAAAAGGGAAACTGTTGATGGGGAGATAATGGAGTGATTATCTTAACATCAGCAAATGGATATGATTTATCTCAAAAGTTTAGATTAATCGGTTCACATATATGTGGACAAACTTACCTATGTTCCATATTTTGGTAATAAATAAAAGGTCAAATTGTGTTGGTGTTATAGTTTCATTGCCACATTCAGAGTCACATTCAGTTATTTCCTGACACAAGGCTGAACATTCAGGATATTTGTTTGAATACCAGAATCTGACTTCGTCTTGAGTGTAGCCGGAAACCACACCACCAAAATGGCAAGGCGCTTGCATTACCATGTGTTCATACCATTGTAAGGTACCAGAAACTGTTGTCCGTAAGTCCGTATTCTGTGTGTCATATGATTGCAACTACAATGTAAATGAAACATGTGAAATTATACGATTTGTCTCACTCTAGGATACCTGTCCTGCATATGCTGTTCCTGATGAATATATAATTAAAGATCAATTATCCGTCCGTCAACAGGATCATAAGAAAAGTAAATCTTTATTATTTCATATACGACACGTAACGTATAAACCGAAAAAAAAACACATTTATAACATAATCAGGAAACATTATATCAATTATCTCTATTGTCCGGTGCAAACGTTCAAATTCATTTTTTAAACAAATAGAGCAGGACCGATTTACGAAAGCAGATCGCATTCCTTGTAATATAAGATATGGATTATTTTCTTTGGAATGACAGAAATTCAAATGTAAAGGTATGTGGTAAGATTGATGTTGATAAGAAAATTTTACATTATTAGTTGATTTGTAATTACCTTCGTTGCTTGTATTTTGCCTCGGTCCCATTACGACTTATCATGGCAAAAATAAAACAATTAAAAACGAAATCGCATGATCATTAGCGTAAATAGTCAGTTGTAAGTATGAATGATTAAGATAACTTACGAATGTTTTGACTAGAACACTGTCACTTATCAAAACTGGCACGTAATGATTTGGTTTCAACGCTTGTCTTTTTGTTTTGTCGGATTGTACTAAGATATCAACCAAATTTACTGAATTGCCACGATCATTGATAATATCATAAATTTGCAAGTTTTTATCTAAATACGTCCATACTTTATTTCCAGCCATTTCTAATTCCTGAAGTGTTACTGAACTGTGAAGTACATCTTTCAGATATATTGAAGAGGCAAACAAATCTCCAAGTTTAATATTTCTCCCTATCAGCTCTAATATTTGAGTGTCTGAATCATTGTTTTCCTCTATGATGATATCCGAAAGTGTAATGGTATCAGATAACAATTTTTCAACTTTAGTTTTAAGCAAAGCACACAGTGAGGAAGAAACTTCAAAGGTTTGGTTCAACCCAACTAACTCAGATAAGGCTGACTGGTTTGATACAAATTCAAACATCTGTTCGAGGAATCCGGTAATATCAGAAAAACACTTTAATGTTTTATTTGTTAAGTCGATGACCTTCAGAGTCTCATTTACCAGTTCATTCATAGTTATATTACCAAATTCTAAGTTTGCAGTCGATTCTCCAATTTGAGGTACTATACTTTTGATTGTGTCTAGCTTGTTGATTATATCCTCGAGACGTTGTATTGTTTCTTCTGATTGATTTCCTTGATTGAAGTTAGACATGTTCAGGTTGTTTGCGCTTTCAGTTACTGCATTAACAGATTTGTTGATTTCTTTGATACTGTCATTCACAGCTATAACTGTTTTATATAAGTCACGTAATAAGAAAAATATTGAATCATTACCAAAAATGTCGCCCAACTCCGTTGATGCATTAAATAGTTCAAAATATTCAAATGAATTGTAAATAAAAATGGTCTTATTTATAACAGTGTCCATTCTGATATTATTATCTATGAATTCGTGTAAGAGAAATGTATCATCTAATGGTATTTCGGCTTTTAAAGTGGCATTTAACACTTGACTGATCGGCAGATTTTTAAGGACAAGATTCTTTACCGAAATACTTGTGTCCAGTAAATTCCCCAGAGTAACTGTTTCATCTAAAACTGTCCGGATTGATTCTGTCATCTCAAATATCTGTTTCAAGGTGAAACTTTTTTCAGACTTGATAATGTCATTTATGTAGGTTGTATCAATTAATTCTCCAACTGTCAATGATTCATTCAAAAAACGTGTAAGTGTCATGTCTTTGACAATCAATTCACTAACGGGGATTGACTTGTTTATCAAAACATCATACATCTTAACAGTTTTATTCAATAATTCAGTGAACTTTGTCTTGTTATCCATTTTCATACCTGGTACCGTCAATTTGTTTACAGAATCATAACGAAAGGAACCTTTGTCTGTAAAAGCTTGCAAATCTGTCGAACTCCAGACATATATCTCTAATAAACCATCAATGATAATTGCCTCTTCACTTTCTGTTCCATCACCAGCAACTAATACCTCTACAAAAACTATACTTTATACATGATTAATTCCAATTGCGTGGCTATGATTGCTTCGATTAGCAATTTTCTGTTTGACGTTTTAGTCAAAGTATTCGCCATCAGTATCAAATAATACTGAATACTTTCCTGGGTATTCAATGAAAATGTAAAGTTACCTTACAAGGGAGTTTTTGATGATTTCAACTTGAAAACGATTGAAAGCATCAAACAGCTTAAGAATTGTTTTGATATTTAAAGCACATTTCTTATTGCTATTCAATCAATGCATCATGTATTAAAAACACCTAACATGCACGTTGACTTCCAATCGCTTGCCTCTCACTGCGGTGGGTTAGAATCCCGACAGGGACATTGAATTCTTTCTTGTAAATTACCTATCCAGGTAGCTTACAGAACGGCGTTGGTTTTACTAAGGTACCCGTTCGTGCCTGAAATAATGTACTAAATCGCAACTAAGGTTTATCTTTACCAATAAATCTTGAAAATCGCAATATGACCTGTACTGTGATGGTAAAACCGAGTAAAAAAGAGAACTTTAAAAAAAGTTAGAAAACATAAATACATGACGTAGGCAATGCATAAATCTGCAATGGCTAATTTGATATAGCAATATTAGATATGAATAGGTAAAGAATAAAAACGCATAACAAACCACGTCCTTTCCTAACAAATACATTTTCTTTGTCATACTCATATGCAACATAACCAGTTTTCTCCGGTGATTCGGCGAGCAGTTTAAGTGGAGTGCCTATAAAAAGAAAGTAAACTTTCTTCAATATTTATATAATCGTTGATGGAAATTTGTTTTGGCGGCATGATCGAATGGTAAACTACTAATGACCATATTTCACCTGCCTTCTAATCAATATACTTTACCAGTGAATAATGATAACCTTAAAAACGGGAAACTAGTAGCAATATGATAGGTGATTATTTGAATAGTTTCTTTTTCTTGTTGATCACTGTTTGTTACGTTAACTATTAACTTTTACTAAAGATATAATGGCTACTTACCTATTGAATCTGAAAAACTATTCCTAAAGAAATCACAACTATTGTTTATATATTTTATCCTTGATATAACGAATTCAGGATACTCTCCACCGCCGTGTGCAAATTCGAGTGTTGTTTGGTTATCTACCGCCAATGACCATGCAGAAGATGGTTTTGGCAAAGTTGATGACCTCCAGGCTCGAACTCGGATTTGTCTCCCAAAAACGTTCGGCAACTCAGCTGTTAAAAAATACAGATAAGCTTGGTGCATCAAAGAACCACAAAGGAAGATTATAACAGTAAAAAATGACTTGCAAAGTGTGCAACTCATTGAATTTGATACACTTGGCATTTAACTTTCATCGGTCATTGAAACTTTGATTAATTGCACACAAAATTGCATTTCATTGAATTTGAAATAGGCTGCAAACAAGTAACTCATGTAAATTATGTAAGTAATTTCTTTATTTAATTTAACGACAAATTACCTGTGAATTTGCATCTACCGTAGTCCCTGTTTTTATGTCCAGCCATGGCAATGACTTTAACAACACGTTGATTATATATGTACATTACTCCGTTTTCACTATCCGGTTCGTACTTTCGACAAAGCCTTTTTTCACAATCCAGATCCTGTTCAGGCATTGTCATTAAATCTCTATTTTGAATTATATGCCCTAAAGATGTAAATATAATTTATAAATTTTGAGAATATCCTTTAACAAGATAACTGTATTAAGATAATTAGCTAAGCGTGTTCTTCCAGTATGTTTTACAAATGCATGGTCATTGCAACCGCCTTAATTTGAAATCATACCTACACTATAATGCTCATATGACATATTTCTCAACTTTAAATGACAGTGAAAGGCCTATAATGATATTACCTACAATCACCCAAGCAACTGCTTGGCTACCTGTGTAAAAACCAGCGACTTACGGTGAGTTATCAAATGTCCTGCATAGGGGTTGCACTCATGGTGGTTTGAGGCAAATATGAGACTAACTTCAAGGGCGTAATTTGGCCATTGCTAATATCATAAAATACACACAAACGCTTAGTCATTAGCGTTTACTTTTGTAAAGAAAATATACTAACGACGTGCAATATGTAAAATCTTAAATAAACGAGATAGGAAAAGCTTAATATCAAAACATAAAAATGTGTCCTGCAAATTATACATGTCCTTTATTGGGAGACTTTCTACGGTATATCGGTATGTCAAGGTAGTATTGAGTCAATTAGAAACAGTAATGCATATTCATAAAAAAAAAATATTATTATTTATTATATACTTACAAATGAAATATTGAGAAATATTGATGAAATAAAATGCATATTTTCATTTTCCGTATTTTCACTGTAAAAATTTATTTTTCACTGCAGTGAAACATATTTTCCGTATTTTCACTGGTGTCTTGCCGGACTACTTTCTTTTTAATTCTGCCAGTACGCAAAATTTAAGGGAAAGTCTTTCAAATTTCATAGCAAAAAAAGAGAAAAATGTATATAATAAACAGAAAATTCTAGTTTTTTCTATAAATACATGATTTATTTTCATCTTGTGGCATGAAAATTACCATATTTCACTCGTGGCTACCGCCACTCATGAAATATTTATTTTCATACCACTCGATGAAAATAAATCATGTATTTATAGAAAAAACTTGAATATCCTCTATATATTTTTCATTAAAGTTACCTGATGCTTGATATATGGGGCCGTTGTCATTATCTTTGACCTGAACATCAACCAATAAAGGGGTTTCCTGAAGTCCATGCAACACGACCTTTACGGATTCAGAGGTATTCATATCGGTCCTCAGAACTAACCAACCTGAGTTGAAGTCCGGTGGTTTCAACGTTCCATCTTGTAGATAAGAAATTTATTAAGTATAGGTTAGAGTGCATATTGGGTGTTCTTCGTAAATAAGAAAGCTAAAAAGGAGCGGAGCTTGCGAAGCGACTGTAGCTTTCTTATTTACGAAGAACATCCAATATGCACTCTAACCGGCTTAGTGCTCCGCCCATTTTTTCCGCCCAACACACTGCGTGACGTCACATGATGGCCTAAATGTGTATAACCATATTTGGAAGAGGTAGCGGTACACATTTTCGGGTCACGTGTTTTGCATAGCTTATTCCCGCATTCTGTCTAGGTAAATCAGACAATATCACGGTGCATATCCATATCGGTACCCTCTTTGCGAAATATTCTCAAACGGTACCCTCTTTGAACATACACAGGTCATTCTCTGCTAAAAACAAACCAGCGATGGATAACAATGCAGTAAAAATTCATTGTAATAGGGAAAGGAGTTATGACACGTAGAAAAGATGTATACCACGGAACACTAGAATATTTTATTTATGTGCTGATTTGTCATGTGCCCGATTTTCATGTACTAGCTACAAAAAGTCGACATGTCTTGCCTCGCCCGTCACCTCGACATATCCTTCGGGCTGAAATGAACCTGTAGCTTGATTATATATGCATCATACATATTTATTATGTTCATATACATATCATCTTCGGACAAATGGCAGTATATTGTCAAAAATAAATGTAAAATTAATAAAAGCACCCTACTTTCGGTTTTGCAGCGGCACGGGCTGTAATATTTACATAAAAAAATAAGAAATATTACATACATACTTTGTTGGAATAAGTGAATTTTTTATTTGGAAATTATAAAATGATACTGGTTCCGTAAGTAATAAAACATTTTTAATGTTATTTTGCCTGTTTTCATTTCAATGAACCTCTTTTTTTAATTTTATGCCGTAGCGACGATATACATGTGCGTGTACGGAAAAAACATGATGCATAAATATTGATTAGTAGGAGTAAACTTCAAGATCTCTGCACATGCGTATATTTCACTTTAGCGCTCTTCGAAACTTAGCTCCGCCCACTTGCGTTTTATAATATAAAACGTCCAGTTTATATAAAATCTGTTCTATTAAGATTTGAAACCTGAAAATTTGAATAATCCTCGTCGGTGATTGGCTTAAAAAAATTGGCGAGCACTAATGTCATATAAAAGGGACAACAGTAACAGTTAGTGACATTTCTGTACTTTTGTACGCCAAATATGGAAAATTGTTATAAGCATTTACATTTTTGTATGTAATACTCAATTTTACCTATGTTCAACCTATGTCCGGGGAAGAGAGGGTGAAAGCGTGGAAAATGTGCCGAAATATTATCGCACTGCCTGGTCGGTATTATAAACGATTGTGTCTGTAACGGCGAAATAAATAGGTTCCGAATATGACGAAATGGTAGGGCCAGCGTTTTAGCGGGAACGTTATTGTCTGACTTTCCAAGAGCAATGCCTTTACCGTGCTTTTGAAAATACAAAAAGGTATTTTGCGGGTCTTAAGGGGCGGCGTTACAATTAATTAGTTTATCAAAAAGATATAGGGGAAATAAAAGCAAAAAAAAAATCCACTGAACAGAAAAGGAACAAATACATAAAAAAGGCTTTAGTCAATTCAATTTTTGGACGACAATTGCATAGCATGGAACTTGATCATTTAAATGTTTTATTTCATCATGTTTTTGTGGTTATTTAAGCTCAACCTACTATTATTGTCTTATTTAGACAAATCTTTAAATCATTCCATATTAAATTGTATGTGACTTTGAAGCTGAGAATTGAATCTAGTCAATGAAAAGTAGGTTTTGTTCTTAGTTAATTGATTATAAGACTTGATCGCTGCGCTTCTCCTTAATCAATTATGAATAATATGTTTTAAAGATCCTGTATGTTTTGTAATTGAGATTGCATACCACTCTTCATTGAATTATATATGTATGTAATTATGCAAATTTGTCAATTTTCAAACATGGAAGAATATGTAAAATATGTATTGCAAATATTTGTACATATTTAAGGTAATCATTAAATTTTATGCATTCATTTCTTATTGGAAAAATTTACTTAGAATTTATAGAAAACTAAATTATAATTACCTCCCTTTATTTACATGAAATATTAAATTCGGTAATATCTTTATAAATAATGTTTTTTGAAACTTACAATATCGATAGATCTTAATTTGAGCATCATTATTTGTATATAAAACCATTAAAATAATGTGTTACAGGATCTTTAAATATCATTTAGATTAACTTACGTGTCACGTAAAATACACTGAAAAATAGCAGCAGCTTCAGCAGCATCCTGGAATGTAAACACAAAGTCTGCATTTAACGTATAGAATGCTGGTTCTTAATTTGCTTATATGTAACTAAACACCCCATTTTAGAAATTACTCAAGAAATACATGTACCTGATATAAAGAGCTGAAAAAAATGACATATGTAAGAAACGGAGAAGACTGAAAAGCAAATTGGGACAAAATATAAAATAATAAATAGAACTTAAAAAGAATATATAAATGAAAGTTGCTGAAGAGGATAAAATATACGACAAAGAATGGACAAAATACGGAACACTTTCAGATACTAAAATGAACTATAATAATGAACTACTTAAAAGGAAAGTATATTTTAAGCTAACAAATGAAATATGTGGAAAATAAAGAGAAATAGGGCAAACGTTGATAGATGTGATACACGTATTTTTTATTGAAAATTATTATTAATAACACAATTTCTACCTTAATCTAATATTTGAATTTTTGTTTTATTTTTTTATTAGGTTCATGAAAAGTTTTATAAAACGAAGAGGAAAACAAACAATTAATAAGAATAATTTTACTTACATATTAAATATGAAAGTGCTTGACTTATATCCGAAGACACTTTAATTTTATATCTAACTTTACGTTTATTACCATCTGTCGTGAACGAACAGAATATAGAATATCATAAAATCTAATAAGAATATATTTCTATCACAATATCACGCTGAAATGTTTGTGACACTATCACAGAACTTTTAGATCGATAGGACAAGTTTTGAACATGCATTGCTTGCAGTTCGAAAGCAATCAAAGTACTGAGATGACTGAAAACCATCAAATAAAAGGAATAAGAGGAAATAAACAAGTGAGAGGTGATAAGATGGTGCACGGAATGGGAGTATACAGGAAGTGGGAGCTCTTAACAGACAAATTCAATAACATATTATGAAATAATATTTTATGAAATTTAGATAATATTAATATTGTAATACTGATTAATTTGTTATTAATAATTTGTACATTTATAAAGAGATTAAAAGTTAAAAGGCAGAAAAGTATTGAAAAAAAAACTTCATGTTTATCTCTCAGTGCCATGTTATATTGCAAGTCTTAACAAAAATGTCAATATTGGCTAATTCCGGTGAATATCGGTAATTTACGGAAAATATCAGCCAACTTCGGATTATATTGTAATACATAATGCTCTTTTTAACTTAAATAGAGTTTGGGTAGTGCCCACTAGAAATAACCATGTCTATGTCAACGAATAAAATACAGTTTAGGGTTCTTTATTATTTCATCATTTTATTGTTTCAATTTAGGCTTACAGAATAAATATCAGTGAATACTTACTATATATGCAGTCAGAATTATTGTAAAACTTGTGATTTTGTTACTCTTTTATACATATTATGGTTTACATTATTTGTATACAATCGTTATTAAGGAATTCATTGTCTCTCTATGTAGAAAAAATGTGAATATAAAGATATACATTTTTTACCCTAAATACAGGTTTTATTTACATCGAATGATGTGAAAATAAATATGTCATGAGTGTGGATAGCCAAGGGAAAATATGATGACTTTCATACCACAGTATAAAACTATATTCTGTATTAATAGAAAAAATATATTGAATTTTCTGTTTATTGTTCATTTTTTATTTTGATATTACAATTTGAAAATATTCCCTTGAATTTTATGTAGTGGCAGAACTTATAAGAAAGTAGTCCGACAACAGTGAAAATACGGAAAATGTTTCACTGCAATGAAAATTATTTTTACAGTGAAAATACGGAAAAAGAAAAAACAAATTTTATTTCATCAATATTTCTCAATATTTCATTTATAAATATATAATAAAAATCTGTACTACGCCACAATCAAAAAGATCACTGATATGTTATTAATTTATAACTCTATTATACGGATATATATTTATATCCAGTTGGACTGGCCATATTAGACAAACTTCAACCAAGTTTAACATTGCTACTTAATAGCGAAGCCTTAACATTACTAAAGATGGTAACCAAAACGGCAAAATTGGTTTCATTGAGCCTGTTCATAAGCAGAGCAGCAAGTGATATATGCAATCAATAGTCCACGCCCCCAGCACCGGGTTAAGAGAAATAAGTTTCATAAAAAATATCTGTGAATACCAAATGACTGTAAAAGACTGTTACCCGTATAAATATTTATTGCATTTTTTCTTTTGATCATAGACATTGAAAAACAATCAAACTAATATATATACATGTTGAACTCTGTCAGGCAACGTTTAATACAAAATATCCAAGTGATACATTTTTATTGATTGATCCATATTTGAAATACTTTGTCCCGTTCTTCCGATGTAACAAAATAATTTATTTATATATTTTGATTTGCTTGAATTGGCCAACTTTCATATCTACAATTATTATCTATATTTGTTAAAATATATTAGAGAAACAGTATTTAAAAATTGTTGTCTGAATTATTCATTACGCTTCTTTTTATACATATAGATTGCTCATAAAATGTCTATCAATATGTTTGAATGTTGTTGCGGACTGGTAATTAATTTCTGCAGTAATTGGGAGGTACTTTGACAATTCGGATGTATTTTAATATTTAAAAGTTTGTTTTGTAAAACCAGGATGGTCCCCATTGCGTTTTTGTTAAAATTGAAAATTTAAAAGAGCCATTCGCTTAGGCAATAGAAAATAAATAACTAGATTCTTATCAAAATTTTAGAAAAAATAAATGGGGCGGGTGAATTTTATTTTTTATCTTTTTATTTGCCGTTGTCGGTCTGGAATTGCACACAAGGAGGTCAATATTTAGGTAATTGTTCTATTTTAAAGCTATTTAGGTCGTTATATTATGTGTATGTAAAATATAAAGATTAAGATTGAGAATAGAAGCAACATGATAATATATCTTGATTGTTATGATCTGTTTAATTGAAACTTTTATATTCTAACATCAAACAAATTGATGTTTGGACAAAAAAAGACAATTATATACATGTATTGTTACAAAATAAACATCTTATTATACTGTATAATATTTATTGATATCAGTTTCAAGTAGCAAAAATAATAATAAAAGTACATAATTATGTGCACATACATAAAATCCTGTGGAATTAATATATCACATATATCTGATTACTATGTAATGCATTTCACCGTCATTAAATTTATAAACGAATCCTTCAAAATATGTATCAACGTATAGACATAGATAAATTAAACTGATGATTGATTGATTGACAGAAATATTTAAATAACACGAAAATGCTGCTTTTTAAGAATAACGTAACTTTCAACAACGTTTTAGATACGTGTTATAGTGATTTCAATAAAACGCAAGCATGATTTTGAAGACTGACAATCTTTCCTGGCTATTCAAACATCTTCAGTTTTGTTAGACTCAATCTGACAAAAGTTTTCTTACATGTAGATCTGATAATCACCGTATATGTTTCGTCTTCATTATTTTTCGGCTATCCAGGGAAAGCTATTTGTAGCAATCAGACCGGTTTTTACAGATAGGCATTAGATGAAATGTCAAAATTTCGGCTTCTGTGGAAGTAAAACAAATTGTTTGAAGTAACTTGAAAAAGGTAAATTGCAAATATTAGACGCATCTTTTAATGGGCAATGGGCAAGATTTTATGGCCAGTTTACCTACCGGTTAAATGGACAACGCCATGTTTGTTCTCGAAATCGTGAAAATTACCAACTCAGTATCGGTTTTTCAGCGCTTGAAATTAGGAACCTTATTGCTTTCAAAATTGTAAGAGCTCGCCGATAATTGGTTGTTACGAGAAGGTGACACCCTATTGCTGATCGTCAGATCCTACTGTGTTGCGTAATTTAGGAGCTGAATAAAAATCAGCTGGTGTTACACTTATGTAACTTACATTTATTTTCATCTTTCATCTATGTCTACCAGTTTCAATTTACGATAATTCATGTCAGAAACCTAAGCATGAGTGGTTGGACAAGTTGGTTTGATGACCACTTTTATTTAAAATTTAAAATCAATTTTGCAGTTTAAAGTACGATATTACAATAGCACGGGCATAAATAGTTTTGGCATGTTTGTCTGCGTAGGGCAAATCGTCACCATTGTGCAGTTACGGGCTAACTCCTATTATAAAGCAATATATAGGAGTTAACCCGTTACTGCACTAAGGTGGCAAAAGAGTTACAATCTGGAATAACATCAGGTGCTTGTACGCACGAATTCTATCCGTACCATGATGTGATGGCAAATAATCGGTGGTTCACTTGGATGGCATTTCGTTAATTCATAAATGCAAGAATCTTCTAATGCGTTTACTTGAAAAACGAACAACACGGACTCAATCGAGTCTGCAGCATTTTCGATTTCCCCATTTTTGCCGTTCATTTGGACTTCCGTTTCTATTCTAATTTATGGTAAGAAAAACTTTTTACCTGTTTTTTATTAACACTTATACTAAAATGAATTACCACATAGAAATCCTATGGTGGCATATTTCTGCCAACAGATAACCTGATAACAAACTAGTTAATTAAGAGGTTAACTAGTTACGTAACTAGTTAATTTTTTCAATAAAAAAAAAGATAATAACGGGAAATAAATGCATGTTAGTGCCTGCAACTGCCATCCTTTTAATATATTATCATCTTAAACTTAAGAGGTTAACTTCTTACGTAACTAGTTAACCTCTTAATTAACTAGTTAATTAATAGGTTAACTTGTTACATAAATACCTAACTAGTAACATGTTAATTAACTAGTTAACTGTTGTAATTCATGCAATGTTGTATTGTTTGTAACAGAATATCTTTCTCTTTTAGTATGTCCAAAAACAGTGGGCTATAAAAACTTTAAAAAACACAACGTTATTCCATTTTAATGTCTGCAATGACTTAAGTGGGACTTTGTATCAATGCAATGGAGCAAAACAATGCTATTTATAGATAAGTGATAACAGGTTAACTAGTTACGTAACTAGTTAACCTGATAATTAACAAATTAATAATAGGTTTACTAATTACATAAATACTTAACTAGTTAACCTCTTAATTAGCTTGTTAATTATCAGGTTAACTCGTTACGCAAATACTTAACTAGTTAACCTGATAATTAAATAGTAAATTAAAAGGTTAACTAGTGATGCAACTAGTTAACCTCTTAATATTTAGCTGACAATAAGGGATGGCAGTTGCGGGCACAAACATGCATTTTATTTCCCGTTATGATCTTTTATTTATTGAAAAAATTAACTAGTTACGTAACTAGTGAACCTGATAATTAACTAGTTAATTAAGAGGTTAACTAGTTACGTTACTAGTTAACCTCTCAATTTACTAGTTAATTATCAGGTTATCTGGTGGCAGAAATATGCCACCATAAAATCCTATAAAATATTTCAGTATAGACATAATTACGTGTACATTTTAGTACATTGTTTGTATCGTATGTTTTAACAAAAACGATGAATCGCTTAGTTTCACTGTAATTTTGAGGATTTTGACAAAGTCTAAATCTTTTAAACTTTCATGAACAGGCTCTTGCTATTTAGCAGGACGGTACATTATGTTCATCAAATATATCATTTTCCTTATCAGATTCCACTGTGGGTTCGAATTCCGACTTGGTCTTCGGATTCATTAATGTAAGGAAGCTATCCAGCTAGCTTATAGAACGTCGGTGGTGTTACTCAGGTGCCCGTTCGTGCCTGAAATAATGCACGGAAGGGCACTTGA